GAAAGGGACGTTTAACAACAAACAAACCTGTCTGTTGAATTTAAGGTACGTAACATGCGCGGATCTAGAGGGGGATCGGGTCAGGAACCCCCCCCCCCCCTGGAATTTGCAAGGTTATTGAATTTATATACTAAAGCAAGAAAAAGGTTACTGTAGTACCTTGGAGCCCCCTCGGAAAACGCAGACCCTCCCCCCCCCCCCCGGTAAACGCGAATTCGTGTTAAGTTTGCATGAAAAAGAAACAATAGAAGTCATCGACTTTATTTATTCGTGGGTATGTTATTGTATAAAGCGTTTTTATCATTTGTAGATTCGGTTTGGTTCAATTAAATATTGTTTACATAGTTTTGAAATCATTTTTCAGCTTCTTGAGACGTCCAGTGTATTTTTCTTTAATTAGGCCCTTACAGATTGGTTGTTCCTTTACTTGCTTTTCATCCGTTTGAGATTTGATGGGACGACATTAGAACATTTCCCCATTGCTCCAAATTTAGACTTACTCAGCACTTTTTTGCCATTAAGCAGCGGGGGATCTTTTTTGAGCCAGCATCTTCTGCGACACTGAATGTTTTATGGTCCCTTTTGAAGAACCGTTTTCAACGTTCTTCATTGGAATTTGAACATGCGACTTAAAATTAGCCACTTACTTCTTAACTTCAAAGCAAAATGCTCTAGAACCACTGCAAATATCATGGGCCTCGAAAAAGTACATTGTCTGTATGCACTGAAGGCTGATGAAACGTTTGAAAAATATACTCGGATGTACCGTCTTTGGGTATTTGAGAATCTAGTCTTTTTTTATTCGATTTATATAAATGAACTCGGGCGTGAGATTTTTCACAAGTTCAACAGAATAAGAGTTCTGAATTAATTAATCATGAATTTTGCTTTTAAAATGGCATACATTTATGTATGATACTAGCATTTTGTTCATAAATCGCTTTATTTTGTACTTTTCTTATTTATAAAGGTAATTTTTTATTAAACTTTAGAATGCTTTTTCAAAGCTGCTGTCAGAAAAAGAAAATTGTTTACCTTTACCTACCTACCGACCCAACATGAGAATTTAGGGTCGGGTTAGGGGAAACAATTTTTTTTTAATTCCGGCCTAGTAGTACTTAAGAAAGTAATAATTGAGACTTTTGTAGGACCCACAGGTATTGAATTCTGTAGAATCGGGAAACTGAATAGCTTTGTTTAGTTGGGTACTTAGAGTCATTCCTCATGCTGTTTTGTATATTGATTGTTTAATATAAACTAAACAAGTGTCTCTATTGAGCATTTCTGATTATGAGCAGTGTTGTAAATAGTCACCTTCAGTTATTAAAAGAGAGAAAGAGAGAAGATTACTCCTTCATTAAAGGCAATCAGTTGTCAAAAATAATTTAAAAACAAAGACCTTACAACTTGTATGAAATATGTCTTACATACGCGACTTACTTTTTATCTCTAGATCTAACTCTTACCGAAATGTGTTTAAAATATATATCTATGTCTTTGTATTCCGTCTTGATACCCCTTTTTAAACATACATACATTTGAATTGACCTTTTTTATAGAAAAAAAAAGGCAAAAACAAAACTCTTGGAACTATTTTTGGAAATTCTGCATATTGATGAAACATATGGAGATAAAGAACAGTATTCAAGATCAAAAGTCCGTAAAACAATACAAAACAGGAGCAGAACAAACACGGACCTCCAAAACATAGAAGGTGGGATCAGGTGCCACGGAGGAGTGAGCATCTCCTGTCTACCGGTCACACCCGCCGTGTGCTCCTTGTCATGATCAGGAAATAACGGGGAAATTCGTCTTCAATTCAGTGTATAAATAATGGATTAACAATTAGTATGAAAATAGTCAGTCAGCATTTGACTCAGTGATAATTGTATTTGCTGAAAAGGTCATCGTATCAACCATAGAACTTACGAAATTATAACTTTAAACGAGAATGCTGATATTCTTGTTTCATCAACTTGTTTGTCAATAATTTACCTCGTTTTAGAAATTGTTAATACGTAGAGCATGCTCTTGCGTATCGATTCAACTGAGATATATAAACTCCGTATGCAGGTGATGAAGGTATATTGCTGCACAAGTAAGGGAAGTTGACGATAGAAAAGTTAAAGTCATCACCTTTATCATACAGCTTGGTTATAAGATTACTATTAATACCTTTTTTAAGTAAAACATCCAATTACGAAACAGATATGTCAGACTCTGTGGTGTCTTTTATCTCAAGCTCACCAGGATATATCGTATCGAAATAAGAATGGAAATTATCATTGTTAATTGACAATACATCGTCGATATACAGTATCTAAATGTCGAGTTGAAAGCCACAGCAAGTGTTTTCCTCTTTTCATGCATAAGATTTTGCACAAATTCTGTTTCATGGGTACAAAAATAGGTCTGCTATTAACGGGGCGCAAAAGATAGTTGGAAGACCTGGTCTCCAAAAACGACATAGATATTGTCAATCAGAAACTCAAGCATCTTTTTTATGTCAACTTCAGAGTACTTGTGTGTACAATCAGAATGTTCTTTAACAAAATAATTTTGAAAATGGCCAATGACAAGGTAAGTAAATTTACGAGTTCCATTTTTATTGAAAAAGCAGCTGTCAATTATATCAAAAAGCCTGGACTTAAATTTATCGTGAGGAATGGTTGTGTGTAAAGTTGAAAAGTCGTAAGTTTTTAAGCTTTTGGTTTTGGTGAAATCTTGTGATTTCAAATTGTCCAAAAGTTCCTTGGAATTTTTAAGTACTGCGGTATCCATATCTGATTTACACCACTTCTTGAATATACTGCTGCATAGTGCTCTTGAAGTTTCTCCTTCACTAATATCTAAGTGAGGAGTAGAAAAAGAGTCTTGGTTGAACATTTACTGGAACCCGCTATGTATCTTTGTTTGAAAGATTCTTATGAAGTTTCGGAATCCAATATATATATATATATATATGGTAGTTCAAATTCACTTTTGTTCTTTAGGATATCATAAATATGCAAAACTGACATATGAGTTTGAAGAATTTCTTCCTTAGAAAAGGAACTACGAGTAAAGGTTGCATTACCACATTTAAAGTGTGTCCAATTTTCAAAAAAAATCTTTCCATAACGGACCAACTTTAGAAAGTTTGCAATTAATGGTATCATATATCGTGTATTAATTAGCTTAAAGCAGTTTCTTACAATACCATGGGAACTTTCAGAATACTTGTTAACATCATAATATCTCCACCACCACTACCACACAAAGAATGTCATGATATGTCCAAAGGTTTATCAGATATCCACACTGAAAATACTTCCGGCAACTTGATACCAAAATAAAGGAACTAGAAAGATTTAGATAGATGTACCTCCTGTTTGGTTTTGGGAAAGAAAAACAAAATACTTTAAAATGTTACATCCCTAATGCAGATGAAAATAGAAAAGGGTTATCATTGCTCAGAATAACGAATATAACTTTTATTTCTGTTATCTCTCTCGCTTTGGTTTAAGGGGGAAGCAAAGTCTGGAACTCTGAAAATATACGTAATTATTGTGAAGGGTCAACAAATAATATGTCACATGACAAACAAGATGACTTCAACTTTTCCATCATCAGCTTCTCTCATAAGTGTAGTAATATTTCGCTTTCACCTGCTTATGGTATTTATGTCTTTCAACTTATTTCCCATTCAACAGCATGCTCTGAGTACTGTCAATTTTTAAACAGAAGAAGACTATTCACACATAAGTCGATGCTGCAGGGATTTCAAGAACCTGTGTTAAAATCACAATTTTCTAAATTCTATGATCGTCATAATGACCTTATAAGTATATATGACTTACCTCTAAGTCGTATGTTTTTGTACTTAACTACAGAAAGTATCGATAATTATATTATTATTAACACATTTATGGACCAACGTCGTGTGTGACCTGGCAATAGGTGATACTCACTTCTCCTATGCCCCTGATCCCACCAGTATCTGTATTGTTTAAGTGTTTATGCAATCGACCTTTCATTAAACTTCCTCAAACTGATTAATAATAATACATGCATTATACATTCTCAGTTTATCAATTTCTGACAGAGAGGGGTTTTTCGATTCTTTTTTTTAAATGCCGTTTATTTTATGTGAGAAGTTTGAGAACAGTTTAGGCTATTCTGTTTATAATCATTCTTCATTCGCATCATATTACAAAACATTTTAAGGGTTGTAGAAAAACCAACAACTTCCTAATTGATGCACTTGTGTCAAAGGAAAACATTTTTAAAATTTATATAAGCATGCAGAAATAAACAAAAACAAATATTCCACCTCCTACGGAGTACTAGACGATTAGAAGGGCGTTGAACATTGCAGTCCCAATGAGTAACGAAAATATCCTAAGCTTTATTAAATCTAGATATGTAAATACCAGACATATTTACCACTTTGAAAAAACTGATGAAATGAGATATTTTTAATCTAGGAACATGTAGTTTAACTTTTGTACATACTTCAAATTAAGGTGTAATATCTCTCTGATAAGAAGTGAAAATGATGAAATTTGGAGCAGAGAGATATTTCACCATAAGATTCGATTCTCGGCTTTTTTTTATCAGTCGCGGGTTAAATTATATCCCATTTTCCAATGTGTTACCCTAGAAAGATTTGAAGCACATGCGACTTTTCCATGAAAAGTAACTTTGACCAGATATGTTTTTGCAGCAACAATTAACTCAAGTTTTTAATCTATTGCAGGGTCTCGATAGTAATGGTCATTTTACAATTGTGTGACAGCTGGACAGACAGAAAAAACAATCATCCTAAAGGCAGCATTTCTTCCCCTTTGGCAGTAACAAAATTAAATTTTCTTATAATCACTGGTAAGGTTTTGATATTTTGATGAAACAAATTCAAATAAACGATCGCGATCAATTCACTTTATATTACATTATTTTATATATTTGAATAATTGTAAGTGTTGGTTTAGAAATGCACAAAAATACGATCATGTGTTAGAAATAGTGCTTAGATTTAAAAAAAAAATTGTATTTGATTTCCTTCCTGCTCTATGCTCTAGGATGTGAAGGGCATGTGCGTGCGCAAAGCTAATTTGCATCTGTGAAGGGCGTGTGATTATCGACATAGGCAGCGCAGAGCCATCATCCCTTTCTTAACCAAGGTAAAGATTTCTTTAAAAATGATTTGAGATTCTTAACGACTTTAAATGTATGTAACTTTATTTCTGTGAGAATTAAAAACTTAACTGTTTTTGCATAAAAAAAAATATTTTAAGGCCGGTGCACACGCTGCAATCAATTGTATCGAGTGTAAGGTACTATCAGTTTTATGCAACAGATTTGATGACACATGGGATTGTTTTGGAGTTAAGCGCTGTTGCATTTCAGGCAGAGTAAAATGTGATTTTTTTTATCAGCCAGACAGATGCAGAAAAGGCAGCCTTGTTACTAAGCGTCTGAATTGGATTTTTTAAAAAGGCCTTGCTACATATTCCTAAACAACTAAAATTGTATATGTACAATCATTAACGGCCACACTCTCTTATTTATTTGTGAATAGACCTCTTTTGGTGCTCAACTTTTTTATATAAAAGTTTGGATGGAAAATAGGAGAAATGTGTTCCATTAGTTGCAGCTGTGTACCAGCCTAAAACTTTTTATCTAGAGTATTAAAGTTCTGCTTCTGAACACGTAGATAGATAGGTATTTATTTGGTATACTACTTACTTTGGTACAATACATTTTTTGAGATGAAAAAGTTTGACACTAAAGAAAATTAGAATTCAAACTAATAGAAAGCAAAGCGTACTTAGTTATCTACTGACACCTTTTTCGTGAATAACATAATATATAGTAGAGAGGGTTTTGTGTAGACTTTGCATGTTGTCCAATCCTTTCTGAATTATTCATTAATAATATTCAGTAATAAATTTTGCAGTATTTCCTTCTAATTACATTTTAGGAAATATTTTTATTTATTCCCTCTACATACGAATTGCCTCGGTCGGACCCACTCATCGCCAGTTACGGAAATGGCCGAGTACATGTAATTACGATTCGGATATTCTACCTTTATTTAAAGGGAAAGACTTTCAAGTGTTTAACATCAGATAATTAAGGCATTAATGAAGTGTTTTGTTAACAGAGATAAGTCACGAAGTCTCAATAAACATTATCTGAATTTTATGCACTGTGTCGTTTGGACCACTAGACTCTTATATACGAAATATTTTATCTACAGACATTATTATGTGCTGGGCGATTATTACAGAAAGACAAATTGGAATTTTATTTGAATTTTAGACTAATTTAGAGAAATACTGTAATTATTCTGGTATTTTATCTCATTTGTTAAAATTATATATACATAAGAAAGGGCAGGAAGAACTATTAAGTTTTGTATAACATCTTAGAGATGCTAGTAAATGATGCTGCATATCAAGTCCTGAAATTCATTTCTACCATTAGAGCTTAAGGCCCAGATTTGCTAATTACCTAAGTGCACACTTGAGTTTTTAACTTGAGTTATTTCGTACTCTTTTTACTTGTGTTCTTATGATAATTCTATCACAAACGAGGAACTAACAATATTTAATCGTTCATATGGTTCCCTGAAGGAAATTAAATATTTCCTTTGCAGCGAATATAGCTAATGATTCTGTCCTTTCCTATACAAGTATGTAAATGCACTTAAAAAATTTCATTATTTATTTCATTGAATAAGTGGGTTTTTTTTTCAAATTTGAGTAATGATACTGTGAGCTAAACAACAATACATGAAATGCATTCAATACCGTGACACTTGATCTTTTTTTGCATATTACAAAAGATCGAGTCAGTGATAGATCTCAAAATATGCCGGTATCCGAAGATTTATAAACACGAACACCCGGAAATTCCGAAGAGCTCTAGAGGTGGGATCAGGTGCCTAGGAGGAGTAAGCTTCTGCTAACCGACACAGCCACGTGACCGCTATGATTGATTGATTGTATGTTGTTTAACGTCCCTCTCGAAAATTTTTCACTCATATGGAGACGCCATCATTTGCAGGTGGAGAGCTGCAAATTTTGTCCTATATATGCTCGGCACTCAGGGCCATTGAGCAGTGAGGATCTTTTTTCGTGCTAGCATCTACTGCGACACGGGACCTCGATTTATACGGTCTTATCCGAAGTATCGGTCTCCATGTCCCACAGTGGGATTCGAACCCGCGACGTAAGGCTCAACTCCTTCCTTCGCGACTCTAGAGCAGACGCTCTAACCACTGCGCCACGCGAGCTGTACGTTATGAATTTATCAGATAGAAGGACTATTTTGTAATCTAACCGAGTTTAGAACCAAAGAAAAATTAGGTATGGACGAGTCTGTCAAAATAGGAGCCTATGCTATATTTGCAAAGGATATCATTATAACGATCATGTATTTTACAAAGTGTTTACTTTAATTGACATTGTTGGAATCCCTGAAACATCAATATATCTGTCAGTAGCCTGTCTTAGTTTGTAGATCGACTAAGTTTGGAGATTTAACACTATATGCAGATAATAGCACAATCTTTGTACAAAAGTAAGGAAAGTTGACATTGAAAAACCTGAAGGCATCTCTTTTGTCATACAATTTAGCTGTTAATTGGCCCTTGTCCATCTGCTTTTGGCCAAAGAACAGTCGTTATACCTTTGTTTGCATATTTGGTTTTCAATTTTTAATTGTAATAGAGCCTGGGCCTACCTAGCTATGCGAACATAGAGGCTGTGACCAGTGTAAAATCAATATACATGTATGTTGCATAATCATTGCCAGTAAAAAATTAAAGCGATTTATTTTCCATGTGCTATTCTTTTGTGAAGTTATCAACTCAGTTTTAACTGGCATAATAAAACACACTGACAGATGACATGGGTGTACACTGTACACTATATATGTATATCCTTTCTTTTGGATAATAATGGTTTGATTCATTGTTAAAGTTGGGATACCATTCCTTTCCTTTTAATAATTACGGTATTCATCATTTCCGTCTGGGATTTATTGGACTTGATAACTTGATCAGCCCCGTATTGACATCCCAATAAACCAAGAAAACCATTCCTTATTACTTATGGTTACTTCTTTGTTTTGCTTTAAGTGTGGTTTCTTTTATTTATAACGTTGTTTATATTTTTTATGACAATCCTTCGGCCCTCGGGCTGATATTGGAGTCTTGGGTTGATATGGGTGTGTTACAGATTTTGCCATGTATTATTCTCTATTTAATTTTAACATATACAGTGTTTTATTTACTGTTTTTGAAAATGTCTTTTCCTTTTGGATAATTATGTTTCATATAATTATTTTCAGTTTGAAGCGCGGGAAATCAATTTTCCTACTCGCTAATAAGTGATGTTACAGGGATGTCAGCAACCTCGATTAAAGTCATCATTTCCTACCTTCTATGGTCGTTTAAAGACCTTGTTAGCAAAAACATTGAAATAACCTATCATTAGAACGTATTGTTCAGGGATTTTTTTCATATTAATTTGATTTCGGAATGTCCCATCTTCCTGATCAATACATAGACCTCACGGCGGGTGTAACCTGACAACGGAGGATGCTTAATCCTCCTAGGCACCTGATCCCGACCCTGGAATGTCAAGGGCTCGTGTTTCATGCCCTCTTCACCTATACATCTATTGCTCATAGATTTTTAGAGATCGATCACCTTGCGTTATCTTTATCTTCTACATTATTTATCGTTTTAGCTTTGACTACCTGTGAATGAATTCGCCGTTCATTTATTGTCTTAGTTTTCGGCTACCTTTTCATAATTACGTAGCTAGTTTTTTTTTTAAGATTGTCCATCTTCAATTGTTTTGTAGTTTATTAATGGTTTTAGCTTTGGTTATCCTTTAATATATCTTATTTTTATTGTTTTAGGTCGTCTATTTTACAGAGCAAGATGATAAAACAAATATTTTGCCTTTTATTCATTTTCTTTGTCTCGATGGGTAAGTATTATGAACTTTGTGTATCCATTACCAAAACGGCATTGAAAATTAAGTTATACTTCATAAATGTCTCGGAATTTTCTTTTATTTACAGTGATGGCACAAAGTAGTAACGATACCACTGCCACCACACCAAAGAGCGTAAGTCACACCGATCAAACTTTAATATACATGGAATAATAATATAATAATTTTGTCTGATTTTAGCTTTACTATGTCCAAAAATTGGAGGTAGATATGTTTTACCGAATTCCAAGTTTGTTGTAATACCCCTTTTCTCTTTTAAATTGGTTGATCTTCGTTGCATTAAAACTTCAACAATATTGCGTCTCTATAAAAAGTGGTACCTGAAAAGATAACGTAGATCTATTTCTTCAATGATATAATTCCTAGAATAAAATTGTTTGACATTCATTTATAAAACATTCTCACAACTTCAGGGTCCCTGTATCAATTGCCCGTTGTTGCTGGACCCCCGTTTTATTCGGGGCTCCTGTTCTCATTGATGTATACAACAAAGAATAAGTTGAGACTTAAACTGCACTTGTTGCACATTGATTATTCCAAAAGCTTGATGTTAATGACTGAGAGAAAAGAAAACCAGTCAAGATTTGTAGCTTTCCCTATCATTACAATCCGCCCGTAAGATATCCAATAGAATTTGTCAGGGGTCCCACGGACTACAAGGTGAGAGAGACCCTGTCATTGTCAGAATGGTATAAAATTGCTCACAAAGGAGGCTGATTATGAGATATGAAACATATTTATTTGGAAAGATATAAAGTAATGAAACATTTTATTTTTATTATTATCAATTGAGGAGGCCATGTCAGAAAATTGAGACGTTCTTTCTGATAGTTATTATGAAAGATAAAAATAAAATTATTATTCTGAAAGCTTCTTTCATTGTAAATTCGTTAATTATTACAGGGCGCCGATTTCTTAACCGGAACCATAGCAGTTCTGATGACGTCATTGTTTGTGCTTCTCCGCTCTCTCCAATGAGGTGTCTTCCTAAATCAGTGTTACCATGCACAGCGTTACTATATATAGACTCCATAAATAATATATCTAACGAAATAAATACTGTATAAAGGCAAATATGTGTCTTTTTTTATTTCTCTTTGGGGAAGAGCACTTGTATTAACAAAGTTGTTATTGCTACACACTCATTGGTATTAAGAGGTATCCCAGTTTTGACCAAAATAGTACTTACCGCATTTTTCGGATTAAAGGACAGCTTTTCTCCGAGTAGATGGACATAGAATTGCGATCTTCAAACATACCAGACTCTTTTGAGCGATGTTAAACGAAAACGAACAAATAAACTCAAATTAAAATACTTGCCGTGTAACCTAAATAATAGTGAGTTATGTAATTCTCTTTCCTGCCTAGTTTTATTTTTGGCAAAACATTTTCAGCACAAAGCTGGTGAATATAGTGAAGATAGCAAACAGTTATCGATCTAAAAAAAAAAGTGAAGAGGACACGAAACACAGATCAAGGAAAATACTAGATGGGATCACGTGCCTAGGACGATTAAACATCCTCTGTTGAACGAGTTACGACCACCTGAAACTTCAGAGGCGGCCAGGAAAATGGATTTTGGACTTTACTGATTACAAACCATTTACTTCTGATAAGTTATATCGGAGATGCTAGGACAGGTTTACTGTGTTTGAGCAGACCATAGCAGTCAATCTGGTTTCTGCGATTTTGGCTTACCTGTAACACCTTTCTTGCTGTTTTAAGGGATATTTACCTTTTGAAGAATTACTTTAATTATTTCTGATCAATTCCCATTTGCGTTTGTACGATTTTTATAGACGCACAATTAGACTGACCAGACAAAACGTACGTCTGTCTGGCCGAGCATGAAAACTCACTGACAGGCATCAAATCGTCCAATTTCTTCTCGTTTTTTTTTTATCACGGTAAATAATTTGTAACCTGCTCACAATCCAGAATTGACAACCTGAAACAAAAATCTTAGCAAAAAAGTCTTAGCAATGTTACTCCTAAGAGATAATCAAAATAGAATTTTACAGTGGAATTAATATGAGCCGCAGGAATAATGACCACACCAACATTTCAGATAGTAAGCTAGTGCATGCAAAACTTCTTAACATTAAAATAGACGGTGTTGTAAAAGACTGTCAGGAAAAATATATAAGAAAACCAATAGAAAATTGTGAAAAATATATAATCTCAAAACAAATAAACTAGATCTAACACATAAAATGGCAGAGGCCAAACAGAATCTTGATTCAAATTTTGACATTACAGAAACTATCATGATATTCATTATGCATATACAAACTGGCAGTTTAAAGTGCATTGGAGCCAAATATAAAGTAAAAATGTTACAAAAATAAAGATGAACAATGAATTAAACAAAAGTAAACAAGAATTCAAAGAGTGTCCATGAGAATTGGAAAGCTACAGGAGAACCATATGATCACAGCCGGGAAATATGCCAAGCGAAAGTTTCGTATTATGCAAAGACAAGAGTCAGCTCTTGAAAGAGAAAAAAACTATATAACGAAATATGTGACGAAATATCAGAAGCAAGCCTATAGCATTTGAAGGACCAAAAGCTATTCTTTAAACTAGTAAAGAAGCAAAGGATACAACAGATAAAACGTCAAAAGATACAACAAACCTTATTATTGTAGAAGATGAGACGAACAATGAATATATTGTCAATTGCCAATGAGTACATGACTAAAGAGGGTAATTAGTCATGTACTCATTGGCAATTGAAAATTGTTAATTAGTAAAGGACATTTATGGCACGCCAAATTCACAAAAATGAGATAATCATAGTTTCACAATCGATAAACTAGGTTTATCGGTTGTAAACTATAGTTTACGGACTGTAAACTATAGTTTACAATGTTAATCTATATTTTACATCTGTAAACTATAGTTAACGCGAAAATCTATGTTTCACAACCGTAAACTATACTTAACACCGAAAACTATCATTTGCGATTGCAAAACATAGATTATCTGATAAATACAGTTTCACGATTTGTAAACTATAGTTTACAAACCGTTAACTATAGTTAACGATCTGATAAATATAGTTTCACGATTTGTGAAACTATGAAACAAAACTATAGTTTACGATTGTAAACTATAGTTTACAAACGTGAATCTATGTTTATCAACAAAATCTATTGTTAACGCTTTATTACAGACAGATAAACTTAGATTATCATTCGTAAACTATAGTTTACAACCATTAAATATAGTTTTACAGATGAAAACTATATTTAACGAATCGTTAACTATAGTTTACGGTTTGTAAACTATAGTTTACAGTCGATAAACCTAGTTTATCAATAGTGAAACTAGGTTTATCTCATTTTTGTGAATTTGGCGTGCCATAGACATTCGTCATGAGGAAAACTTTGTTTTGAAATCAAATTTAGAATTTATTTAATATTTACAGAGTTTTATTAGTTAAATGAAATTAAAGGAAAAAAAAGAGAGAAGTTTAACTCTTAAAAACCATTTTTAAATTTGAAATTACTCTCGTTTTTGAACAAAATTTTGAACACAGGGATCAAACCCAGAAAATTACTGAGGAAATGAATGTCTGTAAAACCGCTTATCGGAAAGATCTAAAGGACATACGCAACGTAGTATGAATTTTATTTGTCTTTTTTCATGGAGTTGAAGAGTTCCAATACTTAAAGGAACTGTGTGCTACCTTTCGATTTCAATGTCTGTTTATATCTATTATATTTAGCCTGTTTTACTATATTATATCCATCACAAAACGCCCTACAAAGACGATTCACATAGAGATCCTCCCCTCGTATGACTGGCTTAATAATTTCGGAGGCCCTCTATTAGGCAGAGGATAATAATGCCAAAGATTTCTAAACATTAGAGCAACAAATGGCTGTAAGACTGCTATATCTATCAAATTTGGATGTAAATGGTTTTTAAGGGCCACAAGTAGGAAAATATAAGAGGTTCAAAGGGGAAAGTCTAAAGCAAAAGAAGAAAATTAAGACCTTGTACATGTTGTAAGTAAATGACTTATGGCAAACGAAAAGTGAAATTGAAATATCAGAAGAGGCACCTCTTCGTCATCTCGAGTTAGAGACAAATTCATATCGTCACTTCATCTTCTATATGGCAGTCGTGCGCACATTCCCTAAATGCATTTAAAAAAGACATCGGAAACAAATACTTATCGGCTACAATCTATAAAAAAGTGTCACGAGCATGAAGTGAACTGAGAGTGATTGTTGAGTGAGGAGAGTCAGGCGCGGATCCAGGAATTGAAGTTAGAGGGGCGCCAAAAGTAGGCAAGGGGTCTGGGGGCCGCCTTGAGGCCCCCAGTTGGTCCAGGACAAAGCCCTGGTGCATGGGGGCCCAGGGGGCGAAGCCCCCGGAAGCTCCTGGATTTTAGAGATTTTATAGGGTAAAAATGAGGTCTACCAAGACATAGTATACATATTAAATCTTCTAGACGAAACTGTGATTTACTTTAATTTTGACAATTTTAGGGGGGCGCGCGCTGGGGGCGCCCCCCCCCCCACCTTCAATCCGCCACTGAGAGTACAGAGGATAGACTATAGACTTCGGTATATTTTAAGGACATACGCAACGTAGTTTGAACTTTTTCATCTTTTTCCATGCATGGAGTTGAAGAGTTTCAATTCTTAAAGGAATAATTTACTATATTTTAAAGTCTTTATATGGTATTGTACACTTTTTCTAAAACAATTTTTTGATAAAAGAAACATCTAGAATATATGTTTATTATTTTTTATATATTTCTCTATGAATCATCCAAGAATTTTCCTCAATTGATATATTAAAAAAAAACGGGTAATGCATGCTGTCTTTTTGTCTGTGGAGATCTGATGACACTATGATCTTAATTTAGGAATATCGTGAAAAATTATCAGTAGGTAAGGTACGTTGTATATGTCCTTTAAAAGCCCTAGTCTGCACTATACAAGGCAGCCATACCTGGGTAAATTGCCTCACTCTCGCAATAGGAAATTGCCATGGTATTCAGGAGTCAAGCTTATGTATATCTGAATTATATTAAGAAAGAATACTACAATATATTATCGACTCCTCCCATAAAATATTTACACAAAGCAATTCTAGAAATGTGAAAACTCAAGGATTTATTCAGAACTTAATTGACACGAAGTTTTTGGTATTTTATATCGCTCAATCATTTCAAGTGATGATCACCTTTCAGGGACGTAGCATCATTTTTGATAAAAGATGGGAGGGGCAACCGACTTACCTGAAAGGCTAGATAAAATTTAAATTAAAAATCCTTGCCAAACTAATTTCCTTCATATACTACTACATGTATTCCTTGTGACAAAACCTTTCTCTAGGTAACACCAAATTTAACCTAGTGACCTTGACCTAGGGCTTTCATATTTCACATGAATATTTACTGTGACAAGACCTTTCAGTGGGAGTCAAAATATTTAACCTTTTGGCCTTGACCTAAGGGTTTGGTCCACTTCTCAAAAACTTTAATCTTGGTCAAAAATTTTGAACCGTTAGTACAAGGGCTTTCATATCTCACAGGTGCATTCCTTGTGACAAGACCTTCCATTGGGTAGCAATAATTTGACCTTTTGACCCTGACCTTGAAGCTGAACTTGCATTTGAGAAACTTCAATCCTCGCCATAAGTTGCTATACGGGGGCATCGGTGTTTTACAAACACATCTTGTTTTTTATGCTGAGGGAAACAATCGTAAATTACCTTTTTCTTTTATATACAGTACATGCTAAGACCGTATTTTCTTTAATAGCCTGTCCACAACTCGGGTACTGAATATTAATGTAAATAAACTAAATACTGAGTGTCACTATATGCATGTATAAAAAAGGGACTTTTTATACATGCAAATACTCAATACTTACATTAACAGATTAACGCCCAGTGATCGTAGTCCACGGCGAAAGTCGGTCCATTCTTTTCAAAGCGAATAACTCTGACCCCCCCCCCCTTTTTTTAAAAACTTTCCTCCGGTTCAGCCTAGACTTCAAATGGAAATGGAAATTTTGGAATTTGTACAGACGGGTTAATAAACAGCTTTCCAGATGCGCTTTTAAAATCTAAAGTTTTATTTTAAACCTTAGCCGGAATTTTCAAGAGTATTCATATTGAAGGATTCCGGTTATTATGAAGCAGTTGACTGTTTCCTGCATGTGAAAATGGACAACTCAACAGATTCTGAGGAGCAACTCAGGGAAGCAGCATGTATAGGTGATTTAGAGTCAGTCAAGACTTTAATCGAATCATCAGGGGTGGACATCAATAGCCGAAATAAAGTTAATGGATGGTAAGACGCGGGAAATCTGCAACATGCTAATATAATAATTGATATCGGATTTTGGGTTTATCAGCTGTTTATGAATATAATGAATATACATGTATGTATAGATACAGTATAATGTAAATATTATCTATTGATATGTTAAAGCAGGGACCTATATACTAGTACATAGGCCCCTGGTTGAAGAGGATTCTTTTATTTATCAATAGATATAGATATATAAGCAAGATCCAAGTACTGTTGATTAGTATTCATGGCAGTGTAATGTTGTTTCTTTATTTCATATCTGTATCTGTAATATATTTAAGGACATCTCTACATTGGGCAGCCAAGAGAAATCACAGTGGTATAGTCTCATATTTACTTCTACATGGAGCTGATAAGTATATAAAAACCAACAATGGGGAGACAGCTAGTGAGCTTACCACTTTCTCCGACATCAAGAACATGCTTGGAGGTCAGCTCATTGCATCAATTCTAATATTAACATACATAATCTCTGATAATTTCAACTAGTAGATATTACAGTCAAATTTGTTAGTTCCAGTATGCAGACTAGCTGTACTATGTGTACTTATGCATAAGTAAATGGATTTTTTAATTATATAGGCACCAATATGGAGACTAAACAGAAAGATCTTCCAATAACCCCAAATTACTTAGCAAACCCTCCCTTTCCCTATACACAGCCTGTTGTCCAAAACTCAACTGACCCCAGGAGGGAGAACCTCAGCAGAGAAAATCCTGGAAGGCAGCAAGAACAAAACTCAGCTTCCAACAATGGTTAGTACATGTGTATTAGTATTAATAAGTTTATTTTACTATTAAAATTTTTAAACTGTGCCCACCAGTTTAAAAAAATGACTGTAGTAGAATAAACTGTTTACATGTATGAATGTATCTTTACAAAATGGGCTTCTGGAACCTTTCCATCTGCATGAGTAGGATGTGTCAGATATTATTGTACAAGTTCTATTTTGGAAATACAAGTAGTAAAGTTCTTTGCTTTTTTCCCTTCACAGTTCATTACAATATATACTATTTATTCTGTAGAGCTTGTGATCAAAGTGCGTGTGGCCAACAGTGAGGAGAGGGATTTTATTGAGGTGGAGCTGGACAGACACTGCCTCTCATTTGATCGACTTCTAGCTGTCTGTTGTCAGGAGCTAGGGGTGCAGAAAGGACTAGTGTTCAAAGTCAGAAAACTACCTAACACAATTGTACGCAAGGATAAAGATGTTGGTCGCCTAACCGACTTTCAAGAACTTGAGATTGTATTAAAAAATAATTCAGAAACATCTAGACCAATGCAATATGGAATTTCAATGTCTCAGAGGATTCTATATTAGATTTGAAATTCAAACTCAACTTAGTAACTCAACTGTCCCAATGATATGAAATGTCCATCATTGAAAGTCACTAGTTGTCTGCTCTAGTAGCACAGGAGTTGGCTTGAGATGATGAAAAATGTCCAAATTACATACAGCATTCACCAAATGCCAGTTTTTGTCTATTTATTTCCCACAACATCTTAGTCAACAAAAGCCATATTAATTATTAAACTTATAGAAATCCTTTTACATTGCATCTTCTTTATTGTGTTGTAAATGTTGTGTATATGCAAGCAGCAATCTATCAAGAGCTTGAAATTTATTGATTTGACTAAATGTTACAGATGCTTTTTCAAAAAGAAGGTGTTGTCTATTGTTTAGAAATATACATTCATGTACCAGTATATTCAAGTATTATTAAATCATAAATTGTTTTGAAAGTTCATGAAATTTTCATTATTGTTGGTATATTAGTGTTCAAAGTGTACCAGCAATTGACTTTAGAGATGTACATGTATTAATGTGCCATATATTTCTTTTTTTTGTCTATATGTAGTGTATGCATTAAATAAATGGATTCATTGTAAATCTAAATTACTAGACCTGTGTTAGTTGTACAAAACACAGCTTTTAGCTCACCTGAGCCGAAGGCTCAAGTGAGCTTTTCTGATCACATTTTGTCCGTCGTCCGTCCGTCTGTAAACTTTTCACATTTTAGTCTTCTTCTCAAGAATAATTAGGCCCATGTTAACCAAACTTGGTACAAAGCATCCTTGGTTAAAGAGGAGTTTAAATTGTTAAAGTGAAGGGCCCAGGTCCACTTACAAGGGGAGATAATCAAGAAAAGACAAAAGTAGGGTGGGGTCATTAAAAAAATTTCTTCTCAAGAACCATTGGGCCAGGAAAGCTGAAACTTATGTGGAAGCATCCTTGGGTAGTGTAGATATTAAATTGTTAAACTCATGACCCCCCCCCCCCGGGGTAGGGCGGGGCCACAATAGGGAATCCAAGTTTTACATAGAAATGTATAAAACAAATCTTTAAAATCTTCTTCTCAAAAACCACTTGTCCAGGAGGCTGAAACTTATGTGGAAGCATCCTTGGGTAGTGTAGATATTAAATTGTTAAAATCATGACCCCCCGGGGTAGGGCGGGGCCACAGTAGGGAATCCAGTTTTTACATAGAAATATACAGACCAAATATTTAAAAATCATCTTCTCAAGAACCATCGGGCCAGGAAATCTGAAACTTATGTGGAAGCATCCTTGGGTAGTGTAGATATTAAATTGTTAAACTCATGACCCCCCGGGGTAGGGCGGGGCCACAATAGGGAATCCAGGTTTTATATAGAAATATATAGAACAAATCTTTAAAAATCTTCTTCTCAAGAACCACTGGGCCAGGAATGCTGGAACTTATGTGGAAGCATCCTTGGGTAGTGTAGATAAAATTGTTAAAATCATGACCCCCAGGGGTAGGGCAGGGCCACAATAGGGAATCCAAGTTTTACATAGAAATATACAGAACAAATCTTTAAAAATCTTCTCAAAAACCACTGGGCCAGGAAAGCTGAAACTTACGTGAAAGCATCCTGCATGGGGTAGTGTAGATTCAAAAGTTTCAAAATCATGAAAGGGAAGGGGGTAGGGGGGCACGATAGGTATAGCAAGAGGGGAAATTTGGTAAAGAACTGCATCGCCAAAGTTACTAAGGTGAGCGATGTGGCCCATGGGCCTCTTGTTAATTTGTGGGAGGGTGAGGGTAAAGTTAATGTCAAATATTGTAAAAATCCTTATAAACAAGAGGTCCATGGGCCACAATGCTGACTTGAGTAACTTTGGCCATCCTTCACCAGACTTTCCCCTCTTGTATACCTATACTTAATACCCAACACCTGAGGGTCATGATCTGGACAATTTAAAATCTACACTACCCCAGAATGCTTCCATACGAGTGTCAGCTTTCTTAGTCCAGCGGTTCTTGAGAAGATTTTTAAAGATTTTTCTACAAACTGGTATTTCAATGTAAAACTTGGATTCCCTGTTGTGGTCCTGCGCTACCCCCAGGGGGTCATGATTTGAACAATTAGAATTTACATTTCTCCAGGATGCTTTGACATAAGTTTCAGCTTTTCTGGCCCATTGGTTTTTGAGGAGAAATATATTTTATGCCCTAACCTATTTTTGTCTTTCCTGGATTATCTCCCCTTGTAAGGGAACTTGGCCCTTCAATTTAACAATTTAAATTCCCCTTCACCCAAGGGTATTTTTTACCAAGTTTTATAAAATTGGCCTAATGGTTCTTGAGAAGAAGTTGAAAATGTGAAAACTTTACAGACAGCTGACAGACAATGGGTGATCAGAAAAAGATCACTTGAGCTTTCAGTTCAGGTGAGCTAATTATTAAATATACTATTAAACTTCATACTGAAACTTAGCATAAGTTCCTGCAGCCACAATACTTGCATGAGACATCCTATCCCTGCTTTCCTTCAGAAGATGTTGTCCACCTGAAAATTTCTGGCCTTGTGTTGTGATCTCATCCTAGCTGAAAGGTTAAACCAAACTTGATTCTACACTACAAGGGAATTCTGCATGCAATTTTGATTTATGTGTCCTTGTTGCTCTGGATAAGAATTTTAGCTCAGCTGAGAAACTCGGTTGAGGTACTGCTATTTGAACTTTTGAACATTTTCTGGAACCACTAAACTAATATTAAGGATAAAGAGAAACAGAACTGTGAATTTTTTAAGCTTAGCCTCCCTGGGGTCTGAGGAATCAGTCCAAACAATCCAAATTATTACAGTAATCTTTAAAAAAAAAAAATTCTAAAGGATACATGGGTATATAGTTGTGGACAAACTGGCTTAAATAACAGCCAGTACATTCTTCACTGTACAAGTACTGGTATGTAAGTAAACTGTGCCCTGTGTTCAGGTCCAAAGGTAGAGCTTTGTTGGTTACTTAAAATAAATGTTTTTAATATATTTTCGTGTGAAATGCTATAGCAACATATGTCATGACAAACTGAAAATCTGAGAAAATATTAACTTCAAATTACAAAGCACCTTTAATACCAGAGTAAAATTGTTCATCCCTGGCACTTTATATGTGGGTTTTACTGTAGTGTCAACAATAGTGGGATGGGGTCACAATAAGGAATCAAAATTTTAAGTGGGAGAATGGAATAAAAATAAAATTTTATTTAACCAGTATTGAAGATGTTACTCATTGATAATTGTTAATCTAAACTAGTAGAGCAAGTCTGTAGCCATTTGACAAAACAGGAAGAAAAATCTGAAATAATGTTTCAAATTTAATTTGAAAGGCTTTATGTACAACAAAACAGACACTTTAAACACATAGAGCCTATGAAAAGCAGTAATACAGACCACTGGGGTTTTTTTTACTTATAGTAGCATTATTGTTACATTTCTTTTCAGTTTTTTTAGCTTTTGACATAAAATTATTGCACAATACTAAGTTTGAATTACATGCACAGATAGAAGTATCTTTCAGTAAACCCTCCATATTTTTTAAAAAACAAAACATTGATGCTGGCTGGGTCATAAAAGAAATCTTAGTTTAAGTCCAGTTTTTTGGCTTTTCTTCAGAAGCTGCTGATTATTTCTTGACCAGTTTCTGATTCCTACGAGGCGGTTCCCAGCGGAGACATGATGAATCGACAGTAAGCACCGGGCGTTTGTACTGAGCACTCTTTAAATGTTCTTCCACAAGCTTTGGTGTGACACAGATGACATGCTGTCCTTTCCAATATTTGATCATGTTGAGAGACTGTAGAGTGCTGATGATGTCATTCTGTGTTATACTGGTCATCTCACTGAAAACATTAACAGCAATAGAAAATTAAAGAGTAATACTTGTAGAAAAGTCCACCTAGCAAGAAAAGCAAAAAGAACAGAAATACATGTACAGGATCCTGTTTGCAAAAGCCCTTATCAGAATATTAACAAATCTGAAACCTTTAAAATATTCTTAATATTTTTTAAAACAAATTACTTTGCAATTTCTATAAAAATCCCATATACCGGTACTCTCTTTATTTAAGAATGATTGATCAACTGCATTGCAAGTACATATTTGCAAGACATATATGCATGTCATCTCATGATGAATAGATTCAGTTACACTTGTTTTCCATAATACAATTGAACAGAAATTTATTTCTTAGTTCAGAAAATAGTTGTAAATTCAGAATGTTTGAATATGTTCAGGATCACACGTTTTCCCTAATGAGGTAGTAAAAACTATTCCCTCTTAAGAAATATGTGAATTCACAAAATATATTAAAGTACTGTAGAAGTACTTTTTTCCGCATGGTATTAACTTACGCTATGTACGCGGTTACAATTTTTCCGCGGAAATTTGTCCATGCGTTCTTAGTATAAATGTACTAGGCATATAATGACAGTCTAGGAAACCGCGTAATTTTCTACAAGCGGATTAAACAGAAATTGAGATTCCACGGAATTATGACCCCATGGAAAAAAGTATGTCTACAGTAATTGTGAAGAAAGAAAAATTGAAACTTGAGCCAGACTTCCTATATGTTTCGTTACAATAAACGAACCTTAAATCCCTGATGGACAATGTTCCTCGGAAATCTCGGAGAATTTCCAGGAGGACCCAGGACCAGTAACTCCTGTAGCTGAGCTTGCCCAGGTCAGAGAGAGGCTTCTCCGGAGACCCCACAGTTCCCTCCAGTTTGGACAGTTCATAACCTAGGGGGTAAAAATAATATTACTGGAAAGTACTTAACAGAAAGTATCAAATCACTGTTCAATATGTATTATATGTATCTCATTCTAATTTTATCTCCACTTTCAAAAATATAGAACTCACAAGCAACTGATTGGTAATAACTAATAACTATACTGAAATACCAGTAATAGAGAGTCGAGCATGTACATCTATCATGTACTCATATTAATGTTTGTTAAATGCCCATTTCAATGTGAAGAGCTCTAGTAAGACCTTAATTTTTACCATTCCTCCACAAATTCCTGGGCTTCTCAAGTATCAAATGTAAGTCAAACTTACTGAAAGCAATCAGAAACTTTCCATATCCTTTTCTTTGGAATGGTGGTAAGGTCATTATGCAGGCTACATTATTTCCATCTGGAGACTCTTTCTCCTGAAAAAGAATTAAACAAATTAATTTCTTTCTACATATGCATTTTACCTCGAAATGATTATTTCATTGATGATTTAAATGAATAAGGGGAAGAACCCTAATAAATGGCAAAATTATCTGTTTTCTGATTTAATGTTCTAACTTTTGTAAAAATACCCACTAAATGAGAACACCTTCTCTCTTCCCTGTTCACAGTGTTAATCTCTTAAGAAATATGAAAACACTGTCTGACTACCTCCTGATTAATGTTCTTAACTTCTTACCTTTAAGAAGTACCCCACCAAATGACAACTCTATCTGTCTGTTTTGATTACTGTTCTTACCTTTAAGAAGTACCCCACCAAACGACAACTCTTATCTGTCTGTTTTGATTACTGTTCTTACCTTTGAGAAGTACCCCACCAAACGACAACTCTATCTGTCTGTTTTGATTACTGTTCTTACCTTTGAGAAGTACACTACCAAACGACAACCCTATTTGTCTGTTTTGATTACTGTTCTTACCTTTGAGAAATACCCCACCAAATGACAACCCTGTCTGTCTACTTCTGTCAGTATGTAAAACATGAAAGGTTCCACGTCAAAATACAGTGTTTTGTGATCCAGAAATAGCTTGGCCAGTAAACAAAGATTCTGACAGTAAATCTGCAATTAAGAATAAAGATCTGTGTAAATATAAATAATTAATGATTGCACAGATCAAGTACATATAAAAGACAAATATTTTAGCACAGACTCAAAAACATATAACAGACAAATATTTTAGTTTGAGGGAAAAAAGTTTTATAATCCACTTGTTTCAAACATTCCAAGTTTTGCTTACCTTTGCATCTTTTCCATCTACTTCAAAAAGTGAAATTGTTCCTTTCCTGTAAATTTCTTTTCCTGGAGGGTGGCGATAAATACATTGACTCTGAATAAATAAGATAAATTCATGTACATTTCTTTCAATAAAATTGGATATGTTAATGCACAGCTTTAGTCTGAAGGATTGCAAGTTTCTTGAACTATTAAAGACTCTGGCAACTTGATGCCATTGTGTCCAAATATGAAAGATCAAGGTTTAGTACATTTATTTACCTAAGTATATAAACCAAAATTAACAGAATTTTAAATGATTTAAATCCAATAGCTTTTAACAGCTTCAAAAGTGTAGAAGTGTTGTGAGATGAGTGTCCAACTATGAAAGTGGAGGCACCAAGTTTGATTTCAGCAATTTTGTGAAAATATGTTTTTATAATTTTCTAAGTTCTTGTCCTAGAAAGGGCATTGGATGGAAATATGCACTTAAAAGAACTATTTCTAATGCAATTTGCAACTCTCCATTCCTCTAAATAATGGAACACTCAAACAAAGGAGTGACATCAATAGTGGATAAATGATAATACCTGGTGATAGCGGTAAGAGCGTTCTAATCTCATGTACTTCAAACAAAATTCACAGATCCACAACTTGGACTGTTTCCCATACTCCTCAGGATAAGGGGAGAAATACCAAGCATCAATCTCATATCGGCCAATCTGAATTTTATCTATGTACTTCACTTTGGTAATCTATAACAAAAAAGAAGGATAGCTGTATGCTACAATAACTTACTACCAAATTTTAAAAATAATTTGATTTTCTTTAATTAGTGATGTATACTTACGGCTTCATGTTCTTTCTCCAGTGCAGCTGTTGTAGGGTCCATCTCTGCGTAAGTCTAAGAAAAAAAAATCATGATTATTTCCGCAGCAAGGAAAACTTTCTTCAATCAACATTTACTTCTGGGCAGTGTGCTTCATTCATTGTGATTTATTTGAGGATTATTTGTGGAATAACATACAAACCTTCTGTACATGGTTAATCTCGTCATGTTTTCGTTTTTGGTTCCGCGTGATTTTTCTGTCGGTTCCATCACTTAAGTCTGTCATCAGGATAGACATGTCCTTGATTTTACAGTGCGGATCTTCCAGTTTGTTACTCAGGTCAAGTCTGTCAATCTCAACCCACTCATCCAAACGGCGATTAACTGTCCAAAAGTATACAAAATGTGCTTAAAGTGCAGTTTCAATAAACATTTCTTATTAACATTCTTGTATTAAGGTAATTTGAATTTCTTATGCAAATTAATATAAAAAGTGAATTATTTTAATAAAATGATAACTTACATCCTTCGTAATGTACATAGTATTCGTGCTTTCCACTGCCATGATCCATGCCCCTACTTTGGATAATTTCTGCCGCATCTAAACATATATAACTTTTTTTTAAAAAGCAGTCTTTTAATTTAATACAAACCAACACAAGAAGTCATCATTGTTGTAAAACTCAGTTTCTTTTTTAACAGAAAAATTAATAAAAGTATATGTCTGAGTCTTTCAAATATGCTTGTATCAGTTGTTCCTGATGTTAAAACAAGAGGCCCAGGGGCCACATCGCTCACATGAGCAACTGGCTAGGTAAAAGCAAAAATTAGTTCAGTAAAGAAAAGTTTAAATATATCATAAAAGTGGGTTGAAACACCACTGTGGCCCCACCCTACCCTGGGGAGTCCTGATTTGAACAAATTTGAATTTTCGCTACCAAAGAATGCTTCTATACAAGTTTCATCTTTCCTGGCCCAGTGAATCTTGAGAAGAAGATTTTTAAAGATTTTTCCTATGTAATCCTATGTTAAACTTTGATACCCCATTGTGGCCAACCATACCCCTAGGGGTCATGATTTGAACAAACTTGAATTTGCTTCTATACAAGTTTCATCTTTCCTTGCCCAGTGGTTCTGGAGAAGATTTTTAAAGATTTTTCCTATGTATTCCTATGTTAAACTTTGATACCCCATTCTGGCCCCACCCTATCCCCAGGGGACATGACTTGAACAAAATTAAATCTTCCCTTTTAGAGGATGTTTCTGCATGAGTTTCATCTTTCCTGGCCCAGTGAATCTTGAGAAGATTTTTAAAGATTTTTCCTATGTATTCCTATGTTAAACTTTGATACCCCATTGTGGCCCCACCCTATCCCCGGGGGTCATGATTTGAACAAACTTGAGTTTTTGTTACCAAAGCATGCTTCTACAGAAGTTTCATCTTTCCTGACCCAGTGGATCTTGAGAAGAAGATTTTTAAAGATTTTTCCTAAGTATTCCTATGTTAAACTTTGATACCCAACTGTGGCCCCAACCTGACCCCGGGTGTCATGATTTGAACAAACTTGAATTTACACTACCTGAGGATGATTCCACATGAGTTTCATCTTTCCTGGCCCAGTGGTTCTTGAGAAGAAGATTTTTTAAAGATGCCATTAATTTTTCACTAATTCTTAATTATCTCTCATTGGAAAAGGGTGTGGCCCTTTATTTGAACAAACTTGAATCCCCTTCACCCAAGGATACTTTGTGGCAAGTTTGGTTGAAATTGGCCAAGTGGTTCTTGAGAAGAAGATGAAAATGTGAAAAGTTAACAATGACAACGACGCCAACAACAACGACAACGACAGACAATGGACAAATTCTGATCAGAAAAGCTCACTTGAGCCTTTGGCTCAGGTGAGCTAAAAATGAAATGATACTGTAAACCAACTTTTATTCGCGTGCGAGAAATTTTCGCGAAGTTCGCGACAGCCTCGTCATCGCGAATATTTCTCGCCGCGAACCGGTTCTTAAAATCTATGTGTCTATTCTCAAGAGAACCTAAATAGGCTAGGTCGCGAAAAATAATCGTTGCGAACTAGTTTACCCCGGGTTAATCGCGAAATAAAGTCGTCGCGAATAAAAGTTGGTTAACAGTATTTAATTTAAAACTAGGAATAAAATGCAAACCAGGTATATGAGGGGAGGTCTAATATTTAAATAATCTAACTATGCCTCAGCCCTAGTCAAAATTAGGCCTAAATTAAAATATTGTTTGCCCTTAGCCGACCGACCCATGAAAATTAGCCCGACTCAAAATATTTTATTCCACTTTTCAATTACACATTTTTTTTTATTGTCAATAAAAATTTCCAAATGTACATTTTGCTGAAGCATAAGTTCCAATAACAAAGAATATGTACATGAACATATTGATTTTTTTTAAATTTTATTTAATAGTAATTTGATTTGAAGTCAAGAAGAAAAAAAAAATATTTTTCCTACCTACCTACCCATTTCTAAAAATCTGGGTCGGTAAATGGCAAACAAACATATTTATTTTTAAATTTGGCCTAAGATTACCTCCCCTATTACACTACATACCAGATTTTGCTAGGACTGTCTCAAGTCCCTGTGATTTTTCTCATAATAAAGCCCATATTTCAATACTTTCTAAACAGCGAACAATTATCTACATAAATGTTATGATTCAATGCATAATTTTTCCTTTGCAGTTTAAAGAGATGGGTCTAAATTTAAACTGAATAGGTACATCTGCACACGATCTATCGGTCGGGTCACACTGTCAACTTACAACAGTTTTCTATTTTACAATAACATTTGTTTCTGGGAACGACTTTACTTTACCGGTCCCCAGAAAAACGCGCTAAAATGTAGTGTCACCAAAGGCGACTTCAGTATATATGAGATCGCGTGAGCGATCAAAAAATTTTTGAATACGAGGTTTTTTGGCCTTTTGACCCCAAAATCGAATTCTACAGTTAAAAGTTAAGTTTAAAACTTCATTTAAACTAAGTTTAACCCCGTTCTCTGAAAAAAATTAATAAATATTGTTTATTCATGGAAAAAATTGACAAGGAATAATTCTGAACGAAGAGCGTGCTGCACATGCTTAGTGCCATTTCTTTCGGACTTCGCCATTCTTTAATACATGTAAACAAACACACAAACTGCCTTTGAGGTTGAATTATGATCTTGGAAAAATTACAGAAACAACTGAATTTCTTTACAAATCTAAAAGAACGAGTCACTAACCCTAATCCATCGGATGGTATGCAAGGACTAAGACGTTTAGACGAAAACTCCATGGAAGATGCTAGACTAACCCAAATCAGTCGAATAATGTGCGAGGACTAACCCAAATCTCTCAGATGGATGCGAGACTAACCCTAAGGCCTAGAAAAAAAATATGTTTGTTTCCGCTTTCCCGACCGACCCTAATTTATAGTGCCGACCCTAAATATTTTTTTAATGCTTTTGTCCCATGATGTGCAAGATTTCAACCAGGGAATTATAGCCTCCAACTTTGCAAGCTTTTCAAGACAGAAAAAAGTTTGGGTCACCTTTCTATTATAAGTTAAGTCACAGTAATGCTTGAAAACACCATTTCTTTTGTCATTAATGTTACTTCTATACACGTTTTGATTAAAGAAGCAAAAAAATTTTTTTCAAAAAAAAAAAAAAAATTGCCTACCTACCTACCCTATATTTTTTCAGCCTGAAAGCGGAAACAAACATATTTTTTTTCTAGGCCTAATCAGTCGAATACTAGTGCAAGGACTAACCGTAATCTCTCAGGTGGGTGCAAGACTAACCCAAATCAGTCGAATAGTGTGCAAATTTAACCCATTTCAGTTGAGTGACGTAGTTGTTATGTCATAGTCCAACGAGCACGAGGATCTTGCAGATCTGCGGACCAGTAAAGTCAAGTCTACCCTGTTTCTGTATAGTCTTTGACAAGAATACTGTTAGAAACAACCCCTGTGCTTGCAACTACATGTATATAGTTTACAAACAATAAAGCCCAATCAGTCTAGTCGAACCCTCAAACGGGGGTATACCCCCAAACGAGGGTTTTCCTTCCCTTAATGCAACGCACGAAATTCAAGAACGATAATTCTTCTTATTTAAAATATATATATATATATTTAAAAAATCACAAACATGCAAAAATGATTCGTCTACACCTTTGTTTTCAATTTTAAAAAAATAATAAATTACTTTTCGTTTTTATTTACCTCATTTCTGAAGCACAAAAGTTTGTTTACAAAACAGAGGAAATTCGGACGGGTACAGAAGAAAGTGTCGAAAACTAATAAATAGCATGTTCATTACACAAAATTTGTAATACCGGGGAACGGAATTATATGTAGTTTAACTTAAAAAAAAATATTGTTTGTTTATTCATCCGTTTTATTAAATTATGCATAAAAAATCTAGTTGTATCAAACATGGAGGTCAAGGCACAGAATACGCTAACTTTGGAAGAAAAAGTCTCAATTTTTACAATAAACATATATTGATCTATTAACATCTTTAATCTATCAAATTTGAGTACATACAGAGCTACGAAATAATCCATCACTTTGCACGAGAATATTTTGTGGACCACACATTTTTCCGTGAAAAACGGCACTTTTTGAGTGTCTACTGCGCCTATCCGTTTAAAGGGTACGGATTTCCAACATCCGTTTACCCCCGTTTGAGGGTTCGACTAGACTGCCAATGGGAGCCTTCAAAACAGTGTCTTAATCAAGTTAACGTCGTCAGTTACAGCATAGATTTATATGCAAGGACAAATAAAAGAGCTTTTGCAACAACATGTCACGTATATTTAAGCAAAACCTTGGCCTGGTCTTTTTGTTTAATCAAATAAACGATAGCGTCTTCGGCAACTTACGCCATGTCCCGTCTGGTCGTCTGACAAGGTAGTGCTCTCCCATTACTGGCAATGGGCCTGAAGTTTTGGAATCCTTTTTATCTTTCTCCTTTTGTGGTTCTGAAGCATTATTATCTGTTCCATGGGAGCCCTGGTTTGCATATTTTGATTCGTTTTCAGTATTTTCCATTGAATTCTTCGCAACTTCTGCCATTTTCTTTGTCTTTGTGTTCTTATATATTGCAAACAAATTTATTGTAGTTTAAAACGCTTCACTGACCAAAATTAATCTAAAAATTAAACCTTTCCGGATATGCAATAAACATTCCGAAATATTTCTAAATTTTTTTTTTTACCGATTGAAAACACATTTCTAAACATTTCTGTAGCAAGGAGAATATAATGAATCGGTGCTTATAATAATTACTGATGAAAAATTGGTTTAATTCTTGATTTCAAGTTCGTTATTTTTAGAATATGACACCCCTATGACGTCAAACAAGTGCTGTTGGACTCGTCCAAAAGTTTAGTGACAACACCAATCCTTCATAAAAGTTGTTTCAGACAGACATCATGGACAGAAGAGTGATATTATGTTTCTTTGTTGTTTGTTTTATGGTTTTAGAAGCTAAACGCCATGAGTTTGAGTCTAAAAAGGTGAGATGCATTTCATACATTCCATAGATGTCATGAGGCTATAGTAAAGTCTGCCTTGATTCAAATAGGGGTAAAAAAGGGGGGGGGGGGTAGATGTGGCTCTCATTTTCTAAAGACATGTTTCATTGCAATTGATATTTTAAAATAGAAGATCATATCGTGCATACTGTACCTTTCTGGCCAGACTGGATGTTTGAACAAATGAAAAAAAGACTTTACAGAACTCTTGACTAAATTATTGTGAGAAAATCAGTCATATACATAGTCATTTTTGGCATGCCAAATTCACAAAAATGAGCTAATCATAGTTTCACAGTTGACAAACTAGGTTTATCGGTGGTAAACTATAGTTTACGGACAGTTAACAACGTTAATCTATATTTTACATCCGTAAACCATAGTTAACTTAATGCGACAATCTATGTTTCAGAACCGTAAACTATACTTAACACTGAAAACAATCATTTGTGATTGCAAAACATAGATTACATGATAAATACAGTTTCACGATTTGTAAACTATGGTTTACAACTCTTAACTATTGTTAACGATCTGATAAATATAGTTTCACGATTTGTGAAACTATGATTAACAACTCTAATTAACTATAGTTAACAATTGTAAATTATAGTTTACAGACGTGAATCTATGTTTATCAACAAAATCTATTGTTAATGTTTTATTACAGACAAATGAACTTAGATTAGCATTCGTAAACTATAGTTAACAACTGTTAAATATAGTTTTACAGATGAAAACACTTAACTATAGTTAACAAATTGTTAACTTATAGTTCACTGTTTGTAAACTATAGTTTACAGGCAATAAACCTAGTTTATCAATTATAAAACTATGTTTAGCTCATTTTTGTGAATTTGGGTGCCATATACATTCCTTTTATATTGTAATAGGGATCAAGTACATTAGCATGGTACATCAATTGTAGAGCACTTGCTTGGTTAGCAATAACTTAACTATAGACTATATATGTATATATATATATATATATATATATATATATATATATATATATATATATATATATATATATATATATATGTATATATATAAACTTTAAGGAATGTAGTTTACTAGACTTGTTTATGCCATATTCTCTTTCTTAAATATTTATGCCCCCCTTCGAAGAAGGGAGGGCATATTGCTTTGCTGCTGTCTGTCGGTCCATTTAGTTTCCGTTCATTTTCTTCACAACTGTTGCACATACTGAAATGAAATTTGATATAGAGGTTTATCAGGTAAATATCTAGGTCAAGTTCTGTTTTAGGTATGATCGCTCCATTTTTAACAGAGTTATGCCCCTTGGACTTAGAAAAATTCCACTTATTTGCAGTTTCCGTTCATTTTCTTTGCAAAGGTTGCACATATTGAAATGAAATTTAGTATACAGATTTTTCAGCTGAATATCTAGGTCAAGTTCTGTTTTGGGTATGATCGCACCCTTTTTGTTAGAGTTATGCCCCTTGGACTTAGAAAAATTCCACTTATTTGCAGTTTCCATTCATTTTCTTTGCAGAGGTTGCACATATTGAAATGAAATTTAGTATACAGATTTTTCAGCTGAATATCTAGGTCAAGTTCTGTTTTGGGTAGGATTGCACCATTTTAGACAGAGTTATGCCCTTTTGGACTTAGAAAAAATCCAATTGGGGGGAGGGGGGCATAAGTGTTTTACAAACATCTCTTGTTTATATTGATTTACAATAATTCCTTGAAGGTTAAGGTCATACGAAATTTTTAAGTTGTAAAAATGTATGAGTCATGATGGATTAAAATGCACCAACTTAGACACAGAATTGTGAATTGATGTTATTGTTGGATTGGTAAACCATGTCCGTGTCCTGAGATTACAAGTTAAAATTTTATAAGTTTATACAAAGATATTTTTGTACTGCAAACATTTCTAAATGATCATGCTGGGAATGCTTATTTTCCACCAATTCCAAAGCGACCTACAACTGAAACATTATATTTTATTGATATATTTATGTTTTATTTATTTGCCTAAAACATAAGAAAAGATATAAGGAACATTTAATGATATCCAAGACTATTTCAAAATATGGTGATGCCTGAAAATCCGATTTCAAGGGAAAATTTCGTCTACCCCCTTTTTTTTCAAGAGCTAGAGGTATGGTTAATTTACTGTTTAGCGATGGCATTAAGACAATTCATCAATTTCCATTGAAGTGTTCTTTGTATTAGACAAAGAATATATTGACAAATTGCCATTTATATTGAATTAAATGGTTGCAAAATGTAGGCGGGAATCAAAAGTTAGTGTGCGTATTTCTTTGCACATTTTTTTCAACTAATTTGCACACACATTAGTGAAATTGTCAGAAATAATTGTTTCCTTAAAAGCCTTCTCTGTCATCTTTTACAGGCTCACATGTGGAAGAAAGGCTTAAAAGGGGACGCAGATTTAAAGTTTAAATTGTTTACCAGAGGTGAGGATTACAATTATATAATGTATCACTGGAAATTAATGTCAGTCATGTTAAGTTACTCACTGCAAACATCAAATACACATATATACATATTGTAACATTAATGACTGATCATAATTTACTGGCGCAAAAAAGGATAACTTTATACCAACAATTATTTATACAAATTATACTTTTTAAAAAAGTTTTTGATGTATTGCATTTTTTTGACATGAAATGTTAATGCAATTTTAGGTAGTTGTGTGGAGAAATGCAAGAGAAATGAAGTCTGTGTGAAAGAGAAGGGAACAGACAAATCAGTGTGTCTGGCTAGACATATCGTCAGAGACAGGTAAAAATTTGGACTCTTATCAAATGGTTAACTTGTTGTTAATCAGGTCTGACTAGGTATATTGTCAGAGATTCTGAGATGGAAAGTCAGGTGTGTCTCAAAATTAATAAGTATAGGCACTGGTAACTTTAAATTTAAAACATTGTATTTTATGGTTATTGAAAATTTTTCATCAGAGCCCTTGGGTAAGAACTTCAAAATGGGTTCTTTATTTTGTTTTTTTAAAGGAACTTCAACATATCATTCTTTAATGTTTTTGAAACATGAATTTTTGCCCTTAATTCAGAGTGGTTGTAAAAGAGAGAAGATGCTCTGTTCATATTGATTATTAATTGCGTGAATGTTACTTAAATACATGTGCAGAAAATTGCCAGTTTTCCTTGTCAATTACAAATCAGATGGTAATGGGTTACAGAGAAAGGCTTCCATGGAGCAGTTTTGATGTAATTTTATGTGCCTCTGATGGTTAGAGTGTAAGATGTTCAGGTTCAACAGGAAACCTACCTGGCTGTCTGTCACCTGAGGCAGTGTTACTTAGCATGTCCTGTTACGCCGCTTATGTTACCCCAGCTGATCCTGACCTAGTTTAGATGACTTTAAAATGAAAAAAATGCCTGGGGATGTTTTATTTCTACATAGAAACAACTTTTTAAAGTAATTTAAAACTGTTGTTTTTTCTGAAACAGAAGAGTCATATGTATATATAAGGGAAGGTATTCAGCATTATTTGGCTAGGCTCAAGATTTCATTTTGGACTGATGTGGTTGTTATGAAAACTGAAAACATTTATTTGGGACAAAGTTTAAAAGCCTCATGCAGTGTTAATATATTGAATGTTTTTTAAAATATATTTTTCAGCCGAAGGTTGTTGCGCAAGAGCCGTCGTTTAAGAAATAAAAACAATCACCAGCTAAATCGTTTCCAGAGGTTTAACAAACGCCAGAGGCATGGTCTGGAGTATTTTGAAAAGAAAGCTAAAGAATTCACCAAGTATCAAGACAAGATGAACATCCTGAAGAACAAACATGCTAGATTTTCTAAACCAAAGAGATTTGTAAGTATATTCCACAAAGCCATGGGTAGAATATGTAGATTTCTACTTTACTCATTGCTGAAATCAAAAAGAGATGTGGACATTAATTTCCAATAAATCACGATTACCATTAGAATATAATCAGAGCAGATACACATATCAAACTTGTACAGATGAAATGAATACATGTATATAACTTTAAAAAGTTATACTTGTTTAGACACTATTAATGCAACTTCTGCAGTCTAAATGTTAGATATTGCCTAAAAACACTGTTCAAGTCTGTTTTTATAGCTAAATGAAACTGTTCCACAGTCCCTACAATATTTACACTCCCTAGATTTACTGATAAGGTAATAAAATTGACTTGCAATTTTATAACCATTAAAGAATTAAATCATATATGTTACAAACAGATTTATAAATGATTATTCCAATGAAAGCATGAGTCATCTGCATTCCACTGCAATCAATACACAAGTAAACAGACAAGTTGACCCTCAAGTTTTAAATGAAACAGCCTAATCACTGATGGTGACCTTGTTTTTTTCTCTGTACATGAACCTGATCAGCTGTATTTTAGAGCTGTTTGTAGAAATATTTTTATTTAGATAGTCTTATGATATATTAAAGCTGTAATAGAATATTATCTATGATGGCCCAATGTTAGAATTAAGTAGCACAGAAATAAAGTCTGTGTTATGGTGGATGATTGAAGGCCTGATACAGAATGACACAATGAGAGAAACTTTGAACACAATAAGACTTACCAGAAGTTAAGATAGATTTAACTCGTTAACATGCTGACACATCCACTATAACATTCTGTTTTCACATCCCCACAAGTAATTGAAAATGTTTGAATTTTCTTTTCAGGAGTTTTCCAAAGACAGAGCCTTGTTGGAGAAGATGGAGGATGTTAAAGTCAGTGCATTTATAATTGTTTTTTTGTAATATCAGTCCATAAATTATTTTCTTCTGTCTGGTACATTGATTTTTACGTAAATTGTATAAAGCATACGGAGTATTTCAAATTATGCATATACTTTAAATAAGTATTTATACATGGATTCAGCAAAATTTGAAATTCTATTAAATAAAACTACAATCATATTTAAAGTGACACGTGAATGTTCATTTGAGAAATTATTTAGAGATATAAATGAAGAGGTAAAAATATATAGTAGAGAGAGTAAGTGATTCAGTTTTACTGTATATAAAATTGTATTTGAATAAAAAGAATATAAGAATTTGTTTCAAATTAAAAGAGAAAATGGAATTGAATGTTGCAGGAATTAATGGAGCATAGTCATCTAAGTCCAGTTCATGGACCCAGTGTGAGGGAGCATGTTAGACAAAGTCCAGTTCACAAACCAGGCAAGATTTCAAACTGTGTTTTCAATTTTGTTAGACAAACCTTTTTTTTGGAATCATTCAAAATAACTCAGACTTACATGTATCTGAATTGGTTCCTGATTTTAGTTTGTGACAAGAAGGATTTGCATAAGATGAGGGGCCGTCTCCAAGGTTGGTTTGTGACTCTCCATGAAGAATATCATGAGAATAAGGTCAACCACAAGATTTCAAAAAGAAGTGTGGGGAAAGACCAATCTGGTACGGAATCTTAATGATCTGTTCATATGTAAAAACTACTTGTAAAGAGAGGAAGAGAAAAATGAAGTAGTTTATTTTTATTCCATATTTGCATTGGATAATAGAAACTGTATAAGTAATATCGGTAATTGCAATATGCAGATTTTACAGCTATTGTGCTCAAGATAAAATGTGTACAAAACAGGTTTTGGGTAAATTGAATCAAGTAAATGCATGTCATACAAAATACCATTTATTCTTGAAGATGGAAAGTGTCACTGCATCAAGTCTGTGATGTGGCAGTTTCATCAGCTAGACAAAAATAATGACCATCATTTGGATAAATATGAAATGTCTGAAATGGAGAAGAATCAGAAGGAAGCCTGTATGAGGCCATTCCTGAAGTCGTGTGACACGGACGGTGACTCGCGCCTCGGTAAACAGGAATGGTGCTGCTGCTTCCAAGCTGAGGCCCCTTGTCACCTCGCCCAGAAAGAGGCCCAGGAGGGGAAGCTGTTAGGAGCGACCATGCCTAGGTGTACGGTGGAGGGGTACTACAGGAGGATGCAGTGTAATGCCAGTACAGGCTACTGCTGGTGTGCTGATCTGAACGGAAATGAGATTCGAGGGACAAGGATGTCTCTGAAGAAGGGAGAACCACACTGTGGTAGGTAGACCTCTCACCCTCAGAGTGGATCATCTCTAAAAATCAGGCTTACTCTAACTCAGTGTAATAAAATACAGCTTTGTATTGTTTAATTTATACTGTATGAAAGATTGGTCCTAAAAGCCATGTCAGTTGTAAAGATTGGTTCTTAAACATGGTTTCCATTGTGCTTCATCAGGGAAAATTAAGTACTACGGCTGACTAGATAAAATCAATGTCTTTTAAAACTCACCTGAGCCAAAGACAAGCTATTTTTATTTCTTTTTAAAAATGCCTTATCTCTCAAGCTCTGTGTGTTGTCAGTGACCATTGAAAATTCTTGACTTCTCAGAACCACTATCATATGCTTATTTCACTGTCATATGCTTATCTCAACCAAACTTGCCACAGAGCGTTTAATTTGTAATTCTCCAATTCTGTAAATTTTAAAATTATTGTAGGAAAGTTTGATGCCCTGGGACGTGTAAAGACTCATCAGAAAAGGAGGAAGAATTAAGTGAATGAATACAATTCCACCATATTGCCTTTTTTACTGTTTTCTTATATTGCTCACAATTTTAGACAAATGTTTACATGAGAAATTTCTGTACAGACAGTATATTTTAGCTTCTGATTTGTATTTGATTTAATCAGAGTTTCTATACAACTTATTTTTACTGATTTGGTAAGGGTGTGATAAAAAAAAAATGGTTGATCAAAGGTATTTTTTGTGTTAATTTTTAGTATTTTGAAATGTAGAAATTTTATACTATTCATATACCTTTTATTTATGAAAACATTTTTAAGAGGAACTTTTGGTGTTTTGATTTGTTTATTTTATCTCTAAGTTTTGATGATTTACAATAATGAATGAAACAAATTGTTATACATGTAGATCCCACCGCCATAGAACACATCTCAGCATTATTCTTCTCTGATTTCACATATAAATGTTCTTGCCTTCTTTATTACAAAAGAATATGGTTGTTATTCTTTACAAATCATGAAATTATTGTTGTTGAATGCCTTTTTTATTTTAATGGTGAGAATTGTTACTTGTGTTCTTTTTATGGTTGTTCCTATACATACTTATTTTGGTTGTGATATAAAAAGAGTAATTTATATATGTATAACAGTACTTTTGAAAATTAACTTCTCCTTTGAAGTTATTTCAACATACAGGTGTATTTGATTAGACGAGGACATCACAGTTTGCTCTTAGATATAAAAAATACAAATAGTATTGAAGAAGAAATGTAAGAAATTGTAAATATGTATTAAAGTGATCAAATGTAAATCATCAATAATCAGTTTTGTTTGTAAATATATATTTTAGAATTCACTGTGTTTTCATCTAAATTATTAGTTTTGGAAGATCATTTGAAAAGGTGTGATTGCAAATATTGGTTGAAGTTATTTTAGACATTTTTTTTCTGAATCTCAATTTAAAGTGCCTTTACAGTTTAATTTGTCTTTTACCATATAAAGTATTTGTCCATAAATTAAATAATAATATTAAATAAAGCATTCCAAACTTTCACAATATGTTGTAGTATTATGTAATGTCTTGTAATTTTTGTCCTCCTGTAGCACTGAAACTGGGGGGTAGTAGTTTGGGTCTGTCTCTCCATCCCATTGTATTTCCTCTATTTGGGGGTGGGGGGCAACAAAATCATTTGTCAAAGCCTGAATTTCATACATTCAGACTGTGTGCAACACTTTCATTACAAGACAATATATTGAAAAGCATTTTAGATTTTCCACTGAAATTTATCATATCGCAATTTGTTATGATCTAAAACACCTCTATCAATGTGAGCTCCAAAGGTCAAGATGAAATCAATGTGCCTTATATAAGCCTTACATTTTCTGGAGCAAACTTCTTTCAGTACCATTTTTTTTTCTCCAATGCCCTGCCACTTACCCTTCTTTGAATACACTACAACCTGTGTGTAGTGTTGGAAGGGGGTTGGGGTATACCTACGCCCCAATGTTCAATGTCTATATTATGTCTTTCTTTGCAAAACTAGCCCCCCCCCCCTTCCGGTTCCGATGCCTTTGACTTAAGTCGATGCGATATATTCCGATGAGCTTGAAATAAAAGATACCAGTCTGACACATCTCAGGCGTGGATCCATGGTTTTTTTCCAGGGGGGGGGGTCCACCCCAATCCAAGAAAAAAGCCAACTCAGAAATTTGTTGACAAGTAAAAAAAATAACAAAAACTTGGTTTAGACTATCAATTTAATATCTCTGCAAATTCCAGGGGGGTTGGTATCATGACTATCCCCCCCCCAGCATGCGTGCATGCATCTGTTTCATATTTAGATACTAGTATTTTGCTTGGAAAGGACGTTAATGGTAATCTAACAACCAATTTTTATGATACCGGTGATGACTTAAACTTTTCAATCGTCACTCAACTTCACCTGCATACGGTGTTTAATCTCTCATTTGATTCGAAACGCAAGAGCATCATGCTCTACGTATGAATAATTTCTAAAAGGAGGTAAATAACTGTCAAACAAGTTGATGAAAAAAGAATATCAGCAGTCTCGTTTAAAGTCATCATGTGGTAAGATCTATGGTCGATAAAATGACCTGGTAAGCAAATACAAATTATCATGAAGTCAAATACTGACAAACGTTTTTCTTTCATACTTATTGTTAGGCCATTATTTACACGCTGTCTGATTTGTCGGTGGATTTTCCTTTTGTTCTCGATCAAAAAGCACACTGCGGGTGTACGTGATATCCTATAGCCTGACTGGTCTGCAGGGGATGCACACCCTTAGTAAATTAAACCACAATAACAGTACCTGTGATCATACACAATTTTTGGTGGGTTCATATTCTCTTAATTTTAACTTTTTCCTCCATGGCACCTGATTCCACCTCTGATATTTTGGAAGTCCGTGTTTGCTCTGATATAATTATATAATACCTCTATCAATGTGTATGGTTAAAGACTACTATATAAAATCATAATGCTACAGTTCTGCAGCTGCGTATAGGTAGATATTTTTTCCCCTCCATCTAACAAATTGATTATTCACAAAATAAAACGCTTTTTCAAGAAATCATTAATCTTTAAAATGGAACAATGTTAATTTCCCTGGAAACTGAAAAAAGGAGAAAAAAAATTCAAAGTACTATCTAAGAAAATGCTTGGGTATAGATTGATTTCCCTGGAAACTGAAAAAAAGGAGAAAAAAAATTCAAAGTACTATCTAAGAAAATGCTTGGGTATAAGAGGCGTTTTTGACTGGTCGATCGGTAAGAGTACATTACACCATATTGTTTTTATTTATTTTTATTCAATTTCAAGTTAAATCTTGAGTCTTTTTAAATTAAATGATAATTTAAAGAGTTATACTTCCTAAGTGAGGATCATAAATCCTTAAGGTCAAGATCTAGTATAAGAAAGGAACCTACATTTACAAAAATTCTGTGATAGAATTTCCATACATTCAAGAAGACATCACTAAATTATGGTATCAGCTACTGTTAGATCAAATTTGACCGTTTTATATTTAAGAAAAATTACTGTTACCAATCATCTTTTTCCAAAAGATTAAATGATTAAATTAATGTTTTTCTTTTTGCATAAAAAGATATATGGTCATACTGTGTCTAGAAGTAATCTAGAATCACCCAAAGTCTCTCACAAAACAGTAATTTGTATATTCTTAGTCTCTTAATACTAAACTGAATATTAATATCCGAATTGTTTTCTACATGATTTCATATTAATGAAGTCTAAACTTTAAACTTTAGACAAAAGTCATTTACTAGATCTTAACCTTTAAGTAAGAGTACATTAAAGGTTTAAATCTTTTAAAAGTTTAAACTTATATCTAAAACTATTATGCTAAGTTTTCACGGAAAACTATGTAATGAACTTGGGGGGGGGGGATAGGTGATTCCTACTTCACTCAACCCCACTCTTCCTGTAACTTTGAAACGGTATTGAACATTTGCCTCTTTCCGACGCTTTCCTTCACCTAGGGACATGCCTTCAACCCTTTAGATCCACCTACTTCCAAGGTTGAAATGTATTCACGTGACTTTGTTTAGGGTGCTTTATCACGTGATGTAAATATGGCTGACGAAGAATATGAAGCGACAGAAGAAATGGAAGAAAATGATGTATTAAAACCTGTTTTTGTTGATGGAATGGTAATATTATTGTTGTTTTTATTTATTATACCTATATTAAGTTAACTGTCAGGAAGAAAGTTGAAACAAGTAATTGAGAATGATCAGACTTAGTAATCGTATGGTATTTTTAGTCGAAAAAAATATACCAATGATTTGTTATGTAATACATGAAATGCAATATACATGCACACACGAAAGAAAGAGTTGCATGATTAATAGGAAAGATAAAGAAACATGGAATAAACCAAATATTTCATGTATAAACTGTAGAAGAATTAAAATAAGAGATTTGAAAAAAAAATTACAAGTTCTTTTCCTTACTCAGGTCCAGCACAATACCCCGATAAAGGTATATAGCTTGATAAAGCTATATAGCTTTAACAAATTTTCAAGATATGTTACTAATGAAAATTCAAAAAAAATCTTTAAAAATTAAATACTGAAACCAACTTCTGAGTTTTTGACTAGTGTGTTACAAAATTACCATAAATTGAACATAAAATAACGTCTTCTCTCACAACACGTTTTTATACTGATTTGTTTGTGTTTGGTACTTTTGCATGGGTGAATTTACTGACAACAAAAACTGATTTGCAGTAATTAATTTTTAAAGAATTTTTTTGAATTTCATTACTATAAAAACATTTATTATTAATCATTGATAAAGCTATATAGGTTTATCAAGCTATATACCTTTATCGGGGTATTGTGCTGGACCTGTTACTTATATATTTTCCATATTTGTAAATTTGCTTCTGCAACAAATTTTAAGATATGTTACTAATAATTGTCATTAGATCCCAATGACAACCAACTGCGACTGTTTGACTTTGTTACAAAATTACCATAAATTGAACCTATTCTCTATTGAGAAGTTGATGGCTCGTTTCAATATTCCTTGAGGGGGAGATATGAAACGATCCATCAACTTCTCAATAGACAATAAGATTGAACCTAGCTGAAATGCTGGGATGCAAAATAAATACCTTGGACTTATCTCCTATCTCATTTTCATCAAAACATGGACTTCATGGGATTCCATTGTTGTAATTAATACATATATTCAAGAAACTCAAAATTGACCTCCACAGGTAACACATGCATGGGCTTCTCATAAATTTGGAGGAACATGGCTAGTCCATGAAAAATGATTATCCCAAACAAAGAATGGTTCTAGTGTTTCAGCTTGTCTGTTAAGAAATTCCTGGATTAGACTTTTTTATATGGGTTTCCCCCTCTCCCACACCTGAAAAAATCCTGACCAAAAAAATGGGTTTCCCCCTCTCCCACACCTGAAAAAATCCTGACCAAAAAAAAAATGGATGTATATATTTATCAGTTGATGATAGAGAACTGAGTTCAGTTAATATTTGTATTGGCAGCTCTCATTGGCTGGACAAGATGTCACCAGGATTCCCATTGAAGCTGTCCATGAATTTGCTGGGAAAACAAGAAGACTAGATCTGAGTTTTAATTGTTTAAGGTAACGAAATAATTCAGAAAAGCAGAGACTGTACCATGAGGATGTTTTAATTTTATGAAAGAGTGAGAGGCAGTTTCATTGTGGCTTATTTTATGGAGTAAATAAATGTAGTGAATTGCTTGTCATCACCATGTTGTCAGTTCATAAAAATAATACCATGGAATTATTTTAATTTATGGATGAAAATGCTCATTGGAAAGCAAAATTTTGCAATCTGATTAAAATCAGATCCTTTGATCCCCTCACACGAGATCACTACTCTAGGTGATTTTTGTGGGTGGTTCAAAGGATCTGATTTTAATCAGACTGTAAAATTTTGTTAATTCGTTGGGACTTAATTTTGTGGATTACTCATATTTACAGAAAATCACTGAATAAATATGTTGACAAGACAATTGTTCATGGGGATGTAAATTCATTAATAAGATTCATACATGAAACCCATGAACTTTGGTCCTAGACCTCCATAAATGATGATTCCACAGTAATCAAATCAATATACTGTTAACCAACTTTTATTCTTGTGTGAGAAATTTTTGCGAAGTTCGTGACAGACTCGTCATCGCGAATATTTCTCGCCACGAACTGGTACTGTCTATTTACAACAGATTGAAATATATATCTGATCGCGAAAATTAATCGCCGCAAACTAGTTTACCCCTAGTTAATCGCGAATTAAAGTCGTCGCGAATAAAAGTTGGTTTTCAGTAACAATTTGAATTATTTGTGTTATCATTTATTTCAAGCAGCATATGCATGTAATTGTAACATGCAATGTTGTATTGTTAATTATTTTTTCTACATGTATCTTTTTACAGATCATTGGAGGGCTTGGAAAGTTTCACACAACTGGAGGAGCTTGTGTTAGATAATAATGAATTAGATGATGGAATAAGGTTACCACAACTAAAGAATCTACATACTGTCACATTAAATAAAAATAAAGTATCCTTTTTGTCATCAAGAAGTTTATCACTGTGCTCTCATACAAAGGAAGTTTGGGAGTATTTAAACAAAGGAATAGCCAGGTCCATCTGTATGTTCACTTTAACCTAAATCTCTGTCCCATTTGTGCATGTTTCTCACAAGCACTTGTTTCAGTAAAAAAAAAAATCAGCCCATTGTATAATCATAACATTATTATTATTATTGCTATCATTATTCCTGTTCGCTCCTTGGGGAGCATAGGGCTGCAACCACACACTGCCATAATGGACTCTACTTTGGGCTATGCTTTCAACTGGATCCAGGTAAAACCTGCCTCTTTTGTCTCCATTTCTATGGACCTTCTCCAGGTTTGCCTGGGTCTCCCAACCCTCCTTGTGGATTCCAATCCAGAGCCTGTTTTGTAATGTTGTGTGAGGATTTGCTTAAATTGTGGCCTATCCAACCCTATTTTCTATTCTGTATGTCAATTTCTATAGGATTTTGGTTGGTTCTCTCCCATAAGCTGTTGTTTGATATGGTGTCAGGCCATCTGATGTTCAGAATATGGTGGAGACATTTGTTGATAAAAGATTGTAGTTTGTTGTTTATTGCTTTAGTTACTTTCCAACTCTCAGAACCATATAAGGGAACTGCTTTAACATTTGTTACTTTGTTATCATTTTACTATTAATTTTTTTACCTAAACAAGTGCCTGTGATATTGTACATGTACTTTAAAAAATGGGCTTTAAACAGTATTTTAGAGGCTTTGGTGCAGTCATTAATGCGCTAATTCATAAATACCGCTAAGAAATCAAATGTAGATACGATATATAGCCTGAAATTTGTGTAGCACTTATTCATGAATAGACCAACAACTCAATTCCCAGTGATTGGGCTAAATTTTGAATATGCCGATTTATGTACATGGACAGTATTAATCTCTCTCCCTGACCCAATCTAATTTAAATTTTGCCAGATGAGTGGCTTTGGGTAAAGGGTGTACAATAACTTTGTATCAATTTCTTGATCAGAGGACACAATAAAAAAAATATCTAGGTATAAAATACTTATTTAGAGCATATTTCTCTCCCAGTTCAATCTGAGTCACATTTCACCCATTAATGAAGGATATGCAGTGTCATTGAACCAAGTTTCTAGGTCAGAAGTCAGAGAAGAATTCTGTTTGTGTGGTTAAGTGTCAGAAACACAGCTCCCTACTAGCTAAAATATGCTAATGGGTTATAACCCTTAAGGTCAATCAGTAGAACACTGGACCCTGAGTTCAATCCCCAGCAGAGACAATTACATGTCTCTGTTGCACCACCATATTGTCCCCTCCAGAATGTGAGATGTCTTCATCTCGTTTAAAGTGCCAATGCCTGTGGGACAAAGTTCTGGGGGCAATCACTTTTACAAGCCAAAAGACACCCATGTCCCAACTTGGGTGCCAAATTAATGTAACAGAAAATGCAAACAGTCCTTTTCAAAATTTTGTTGATAACTTTACTAAAACTTGTGACCTTTGATGTCCCAACAATTTAGATGATCTCTTGTTGTTTGATTATACATGTATAACACAAAGAATGGGTACTTATTAACAAGAAGAACTCTGAATTGTGCATTTCTTCAAGCAAAGTTGATCGTTGATAACAATTAAGCTTTATTATGTTTAATTTCTTTTGAGGATGTAGCCACTTAAGTGTTCACTCATTCAGTATAAGGATTATGACAAAACGTTTATGGGTTATTTTAGGGAACATACATGTTGTTTATTTATTACAGATATCATTATCTGATAAAGTATTAAAATAAAAACAATTTATAACACATGAACAATTTTGCTTCCTGAAGTACTGTTCAGATAACAAATCTTGATCAGTTATTGGACAATCTGTCGTGTAACCTGCCTAATTTGACATATCTGAGCCTGCTTAGTAACGAGGCGTGTCCCAATCAGCTGTCAAGTCTGGACAAGGACGACGAGGATTACCAGAGATACCGGTCAGTGCACGTGTACCTAACTGTTACAGACACATACCGGTAACACAGATGTAAATAGTACAAAGCATGTGAAGCATGTGTACCTTGTAGAGGCACCTAACACAGATATGACCTTTAAGACTTGATAGATCTGTTAAATATGTCTATGATTTAATTAGAAGGAGTCCCCAGTATGAAATTATTCTTTATATGAATATATTATGTGTATATGTAATTCATTGTTATCCTCACTTTTAGGTATTATGTATTGTTTCGTTTGCCCGGCCTTAAGTTCCTGGACTCCACAAATGTCAAGGAGGAGGAACTTGCAGAAGCCAAGAGAGTGGGCCCTTATATGCAGGTCATAAAGGTCAAAGAGGATGAGGTGAGAGGTCATTCACCAGCTCTGTGAAAAAAATCTTAAAACTCATTCGACAGAATTTGATGTACCAGAATGTTATATTCCCTCTATAAAAATAAGCATAAATTTTGTACTGTTGAAAAATGTGTACTCTGGCATCAAATGACTTCAAGAAAGACAGGAGTTTACAACAGTGTCTCTAGTTGAGTAAAAAAGCTTGGATGTTGTTTACCAAATGATTGCCCTATTTTCTAAAAAATTAAAACTAAGTAAATTCAACTGCATTTCTCTGTTAGATGTTTTAACTTGCACAATTAACCAAAATTGAATTTCTGACAAACAGATAGAACATAAGGAGGAGGAAGATGAAGAACCTGCCCCATTCTCACCTCTCCCCAAATCTACCAAGAGTCTGGACAAACCAATTGGTAAGTCACTCTCTCTCTCTCTCTCTCTCTCTCTCTTGCTCCCTCCCTCTCTCTCTCTTGTTTTCTCTGTCTCTTGCTCTCTGTGACTCCCTCCCTCTCTTTCTCTTGCTCTCTTTGACTCCCTCCCTCTCTCTCTCTCGTTTTCTCTGTCTCTTGCTCTCTGTGACTCCCTCCCTCTCTTTCTCTTGCTCTCTTTGCTCTCTGTGACTCCCTCCCTCTCTTTCTCTTGCTCTCACTCCCTCCCTCTCTTTCTCTTGCTCTCTGTGACTCCCTCCCTCTCTTTCTCTTGCTCTCTGTGACTCCCTCCCTCTCTTTCTCTTGCTCTCTTCGACTCCTTCTCTCTCTCTCTTTTTCTCTCTTGCTCCCTCTCTGTCCATCTCTCTCTTGCTTTCTCTGTCTCCTGATTTCTTTGTCTCCCACCCTCCATCTCTCTGTCTCCCTCTCTCCCTCTCTTTCTCTATGTCTCTTGCTTTCTTTCTTTCACTCTCTCTCTCTTCCTCTCTCACACAAACACACACACATACTTTATATTTGCCCTTTTAACGTGTGAAATTCGTTAATTTTTCACACACACACACACAATAACCCCAAACCTGTATTTACACAGTTATAAAAACGCTTGCCTTCAGTAGTGTTATGTAAAGGAAAACATTTGCAAATGTAAATATTGTTAAATATCTTCTTCTTTAACTTCTACAGCTTCATTTGGCAAGAGTAAATATATTTACTATGGGAAGCAATCAGAAGGAAACAGATTTATAAGAAACAAAGATTTGTGAAATTTCTCAATACAAGGACATGACTCATCTTTAAGCCACAGTTTATCATCTGTTTTATGTGCCATTCCATGAAATAGTTGTTAATATTGATATCGCTGTACAAAAGATATACTGGAAAGTTAAGGAAAATTTTTTGAGGTTGTACTGTTTCAGTATAGGCAATATAACCCTGTGTCAGGGTTCTGTAGAGCACTGGTGACACTGTTGTCGATAAGACATTTTACCTTTATACATGCTGTGTCTCTATTGTGTTCTTGTTTTAATGTAAAACAAAGAAATGGACAAAAATTTAGTTTTCCAACTATCATCTATATCAATAAATTCTGAACATTCTTTTGTGTGGTTTAAGTATCAAACTGAAAACAAGTTAAATTATTTCAGCAAATTATTCAATAATTTTATCATTGTCAAGAAATGTTGCTTACTTGTGCATGATGCAGTGAATGAGTATAGGATATGATAGATTTTTTTTTAATTTCTGTGTGCAGTTTAAATGAGAAATGTTTGTTCACAATGTTAAATACAATTATCTGGCAATGTTTATCTTTTCCCTTAAATACTGGTATGTATGTATTGAAATGATTAATGGATATACAAATGTGAAATTTTATTTTCTTCAATTGAAAAAAAAATATTTCCCAAATAAAATGCTCAGCAATATTAAATGGCAGAAAACATGGGCTTTCATGAGGAGAAAATTGTTAAGGCTACTTTTAGACTTTTGTTTTTTGTACTAATAAAAAAGAAAATGCTCTTTCTTATGTAAATGTTAGCTTGAAGCAGGTATTTGTTCATACTATTTTACCTATGTTGCATGAAATAAAGTTTTTCAGTGCTCTTGATTTGTCATTTACTTTCCAAGTTGGAAAAAAAAAAAACCAGAAGTCTGCAATGAGAATGTAGCTCTACTGGTTTGACTTATAATAAAGATGCATGTTTATTGAAATCAGACCAATAAGTAGGATGAGTTTTGTTTAGAAGGAATTTCACAGAAATTTCCTCTTTTTTAAGTAACCATGACAACATTGTCAAAATAGAAAACAAAGTTTGAATCAAGTTGTAGTCTACTTGTGTTACCAAGTCTGACTGAAATTAGCGTACAAATAGTCATGGTACTGTTATGAACTAGAAATATGTCCACAGGACATGAATGCCCCGCCGAGGGTATATTAGTAAAGCAACATGAAAATTTGTATTAGTGTTTGTGAAATTTGATCAGAATATCTTGAATAGTGATGCAGTTGAATTGCTTACATTAGTATGTATCAGCATATGAAGTTTGACACTAATTTCATTAAAGTGAGGTCAAGGTCAAAGGAATTGCCAAGGTCAAAAACTGTTGATTCAGTTGAAAAGCTCTCATCAGTAAGTATCAGCATATGAAGTTGAAAAAATATTATAAATGGTTTCTTTAAAACTGACTTAAACACAAATGGATAAAGTGAAGTCAAGGTCAAATGAAAGGTCAATGTAAAAAATGATGATACACTTGAAATGCTTACCTCAATTGGCTCAATATCTATCAGCTTATGAAGTTTGACACTAATTTAGGAAAGTGAAGTCAAGGTCAAAGCAAAGGTCAAGGTCAAAAATGTTGATGCAGTTGCATATCTCTCATCAATATGTATCAACATATGAAGTTTGATAAAAATATCTAGAATGATGTCTTTAATTAAAACTGACTTAATCATAATTTAATAAAAGTGAGGTCAAGGTCAAATAAAAGGTCAAAATTGTTGATGCAGTTGAATTGGTTTCATCAATATGTATCAGCATATGAAGTTTGAAACTGATTTAGAAAAAGTGAGGTCAATGTCAATTATGTTGACGCAGTTGATTTGCTCTCATCAATATGTAACAGCATATGAAGTTTGATAAAAATATCTTGAATGGTATCTTTAAAACAGAGCGAGACACTAATTAAAGATAAGTGAAGTCAAGGTCAAATGAAAGGTCAAGGTCAAAAAGTTGATGCAGTTGAATAGCCCTCATCAGTATGTATCAACATGTGATGTTTGATAATACCATCTTGAATGGTATGTTTAAAACTGAGCTAAACACTAATTTAAGAAAAGTGAGGTCAGGGTCAAAGGAAAGGTCAAGGTCAGAAAATGTTGATGCAGTTGCATAGCTCTCATCAATATCTATCAGCATATGAAGTTTGATGAAAATATCTTGGATAGTTTCTTTGAAACTTAGCTTTGAACAGAGCTAAACGCAAAGTGTGACGGAAGGACGGACGGTAGGATGGAAGATGGACATGACATCACTATATGCCCTGTCCATATTCATGGTGGGGCATAAAAATGACACTTTTTTGAGTAACAATGGCAACACCACTCGTCATTATCAAACACTGGGAAAGCATAGTGGTTTGTACCAAAAACCTTGGCAATACTGCTTTTCAAAAAACAAAAAAAAACAAAATTCGTGTATAGAATAATGTGTGTTTGCATAGTCTACATGTGTACCAGGTTTAAGCCAAATTGAGCCAAAGCTATAGGGGGAGTAGCATATTGAAACAAGATGTGTTTGTGAAATGTGGATTTCCCTGTATGGTAGCTTATGGTGAGGGCTGAAGTTTCTCAATACAAGTCAAACTCAAAGGTCAGTGTCACAATTATTGGTATCCAAAGGAAGGTCTTGTCACAAAGAATATATACACCTGTGAAATATGAAAGCCCTAGTACTACCTGTTTAAAAGTTATGACCAAGGTTAAAGTTTTTTATTTGAAGTTTGTCAAACTGTAAGATTAAGGTCAAAAATATTTATTCCCTTTGAAAGGTCTTGTCACAATGAATGCACATGTAAAGTATGAAAACCTTTACACTTACTGTTCAACAGTTAGGCCAAGGTAAAAGTTTGGTTTTTTTTGTAAAAGTGGGTCAAACTCCAAGGTCAAGAGGTCAAATTTGGTGGTACCTGAAGAAAGGTCTTGTCACAAGGAATACACTTGTGAAATATTAAAGCCATAGCCCCATCCACTCAAAAGTCATGGGTAAGGTTCAAGTTTTGGGGACAGACAGACGGATGAACAGGTAAAAACTATATACCCCCAAATCTTCAATTCAGGCACATAAATTTTTTATATTTGAACAAAGGCATACAGATGAATGATAGACACCTCACTGGTGAATACATTGGCTGCTCAGCAATTATTTTCCTTTCTTAACAATGTTTTTAGGTAAAATTTGGTATACCTGGTATGCAAAAATCGACAATATATACAAGCAAGAAATGTTTTAAAATTTTTTTCTGCTTTCTTCAGCTTTCTTGCTCATGAGTAATTTATAGACTGATAATTATTTTACCTTATTGTACCATGTTGGCACTAAATGCTCCAGTCGGGAGCTTCCATGTATAGAATGCCATACTGTAAATGTATTATATTTAGCGTGTACGATATTTGGCAGAAATTGAGTTTTGAACAAGTTAGGGTAGATTTGATTTAGCACATTTCTTATCGTTCTTATTTACGTATATAAGAACAAAACATTTAGTGTTGTACTTGAATTAGCGGAAGTGTCTTTCCGCCAAAAGCGCTAAAAAGAATACACAGCCAAATGTAATACGTTTACAGTAATTTGGGATGTCTCTCCAACTTCAACCTAACATTTCCTAACTTACACGTATATGTAGATTTCAAGTATAGACATGCACCATTTACTATTAAGAAATCGATATATATACAAGAGTATAAATGTGCTGTAAAAGTTTTTCACCTTTTCTTGATTTTTTCATATCCTCAAATTGTAATGTACATATATTCCTCTCAGGGTATATTCTATCATAAAACAAGTGAGTACAATGTACAGTTTCTTTAATTTTCTACAAGGCATTTACACAGATATTGTAAATAATTTGTTTACTTCACCATGATTTCATGTCAGATGGAAAAACAACATTTATATGCACATAAAAGAAAGCAAAAAGTATGTATTAAAACTAGTGCAAAACAAAAAGATTCTTCAATGTGCAAACTACATTTACCAGTACAAAATAATTACTTAGAACCAACGATAGTGCATGTACATATCACTTTTCTCTTTAGCAAAATGTGTACATGTGTTAACACTTAACAAGCATGGATTCAAGAAAAAATATAAGAAAACAAACCTGTTGTGTATAAAAGAAATCAAAAAAGAAACTTTATATTCAAATAATGTCAGTCACATGTTTTCAAAACATGTTGGCAAAAAAAACCAATTTGTATTAATATTTAAAACTATCATACTATAGACTGCCCATGCATTTCTTAATACTGGTTTTAAACTGAAGTTGAAATGTTTCAAAAATCTGATTTATTACCCAGAGTAAGAAAAATAATGATGCATTAAATGAATGCAAACAAAGCATCCCATATTGGTGAGGTTACTACATAGAAGTTAAAGTACTGTTTACATAACCATACATGCTGCCTTTAATGTATTTCTTTCATACATGTAATTAAGGATTAATGATGATGAGTTCTTCCAAATGAACAAGATTTTAATGTAGAGATCTGCAACAGTGAGCTAACTCAATACAAGCCAGATTTAGTTTCTGGAATTTACAGAACAAAAATATGAAATGTTTCAGATCATTAGTGACTGTTTCTACACTTCAGTATCTTATGTAATGAAACGAAAACATTGTCATTCTGTTAAACATTAAATTTTAATATTGCACAGTTTCCTGAAAAATGAACTTCCTGGAACTCTTCAAGAGACACACTACACAATATTCCCATACAAGTTTCTACATAATTCTGGTTAATCAGAATTTGTTTTGTAAAAATCTGTCATTTTTTATAGAAATTAAATGCACTGCCAGGTAAACATTTAAATTCTAAATGCTAAAGAATATAAAAATGATCTGTATATAAAGCATCCAGCTTCATTCCTCAGTGTATCATGTTAGAATTATTCACAAAATCTTCACTTGTCTTTCTAACATAATCTTCAAGTACTTTGGCATAAATCTTATCAATATAATGACATACTATGAACAACATATAAAATTTTATGACAATAAAAGCAAAATAACGGATACAATGATTGCTACTCTTCTGACAACCATAACAACAAATAAAATGTTTCTCATAATTATATGTGTAATGCATAAAATCAAAATCTATGGTCACATGATCAACATGGTACAGGGGTGACATCAGAACTAAATACAGCGGCCTCTAGATGAACGTTTTTACTTTCTGGTGGCCGGGGGTTTACGATCCTTTGTTCCCTTTCCCTGCCCTCGCCCCGATTTTGTCTTGCGGACGATGTAAATCTCGTCCGGCCCATCATCCATGGGAGCGCTACTCAGATATTCGGCTTCGTCCTCTAGCTCACCTGCTAAGATTGCTGGGGAAGGCACAAAGGGCTTAACAAGCTGGAACGACCCACCACTCCCAAGACCTGACACCTGCCTGTAAACAGTGGACCACACAGGTATTAAAGTGTTCCAACCACTATCATTTTCTGATTTATTCTTTTAATCAAAATTCAGATTTAAGTTTTCATATGTTAACCATGTTTTTTAATCTGTACATCCACATGAAAATCTTGTACATACAAGTATATGATTTTTTTATTCAATTCAGGGGGCATTTATGTAAATGCTTTAATGCACGAACTAGATTTTTTGTGAACAATTTGGAAACTATTGTTTATGTTAATGAAAAATATGGAGACAATAAAATATAAATATACTTGCCTGATAATATTCTTGGATATTGCCCGCTCAAGAGCTTTTTTGAACAAATGTGGTCTTTCGTCAATTTTAAAGTTCTGATGATACTGTAGAATGTACTTTTTAATCATTAGTCCTGATGCAGTTTTTGGTTCATGAGAAGCAATGATGGCTTGGCTTATCATGTCTTCAATATCATTAGCTGTGAAATAAAACAAAAGCAACCTATATCTTTTGTTAATTTCATAGTACTAAAATAATAATACATATCTATATGAGGCAAAGCTTAAAAAATCCTTTGTTTGCAGTTGCCGACCTATAATTTTTAGACTGGGTAGGTAGGTAGGTTGGCATTCTTTTTTTTTTGGGGGGGGGGGGGGATAACAAATACCCGGTAATGGAGTTTTTTAAAAGGCCTATCAAAGATGAATAAGCTCCACTATTGTTTTAAACTACAAATTGATAAAAACAAAAGTCAAAAATTGAAAATGAAAGTTTCAATATCCTGAAAATTTGAAGAAAAAAAATTAATTTACTAAATGGCTTAAAAAAGTTTGGGTCGGGTGCATTTTCATTGGGTCGGTAGGCAACTGCAAACAAACAAACTTTTATTTTAGGCCTGATCTAGTAACCACTTCTTTTATTTCTTCCAACTGAATTGCATGTACACAACAGAGGACCGTTTTAATAAAACTGCAGATACATGTGCACATTCTTATTGATGTTTCTCATACACAAAGCATAAAATAAGGGCCAATTTTGTATACAGATACATGCACATATTGATGTTTCTGACACAAAAGACATAACACAGTGGCCAAGAAAGATAAAGTGTGTTTAGCTGAATTTATAGGAGATGATGCTAAAGAGGAGGCTTGTTTAAGAGTTACTCACAGTATCCTGGATTGAATTCCTCCAGCAAGAGTCGGTAGAAGTTCCCACTTAAATGCTGCCACATTTCCTTTGATTCACCCTTATCCAAGGCCTTTTTTAAGCTGTAAATAATACATATATCAATGTAATGAACCTTCATTTATTAACATTCAGATTTGACTTAATTGTTGTACATGTAATTTTTAAAACACAATCATGAATTCTAACAGTGAAATTAGAATACAATTCAGAGAGATTGATATTAAACAAGCCATGATGCATAAATGTTCCAGATGGTCAACTTGTAATAACTAATTAACATATTTGTACTTACCTGGCATCTATGTTCACTTCTGGGTAGAATTTGTCTATATATTTGATGATCTTTTTCAAAGGTGTTTCTTTGGGATCACTCATGTACGTCAAAGCCATTGGGAAAATGTCCTCAATTTTAGAAGGATCTCCATGTTTAGCTGCCTCTCCTCTGTAACTGTTCCTGGGGGCAGGTTTACCTGTCAATCAAACCAAGTACATCAACATCATAGTCAAACTTATAAAAGTATTGCTGACATTCTGTTTATCTCAGTGTTGACTAAACTAACAGCTATAATGAGAGATACCCCTTTTCCTTTTTTTCTTTTTAGCTGCCTTGTCGTCTTCTTCTCCTTCTGCCTTTGGACTGTCTTCCCCTCCCTCAGCGGAACTCTCCACTTCTCCTCCAGATTTCCTCTTTCTCCCTTTCTTTTTTGGTGTTTTAGCATCTTCACCCTCCTTTTCTTCAGTTGTACTTTTCTCTCCTTTTTCTTCAGAACTCTCTCCAGCTTCCTCGGACTTCCTCTTTTTCCCTTTCTTTTTAGATGTCTCTTTTTCTCCCCCTTCTGTGGCCTCACTACCCTCAGCTGTATCTCCATTTTCTTTCTTCTCATCTTCAACTTCACCTTTCTGAAAGCATAAAAATTCAAACACTGCGATCTCATGCTAATATGTAAAAGTACAATATAAAGGTAAGTAAAATCATTCAACCTTCTAACAATGTTCTACATTAATGTGATCTTAAATTAGCAATACATAAAAAACACAAAAAAGACAAAAATTTAAAAAAATACGTTTTTCTTTGTTTTTGGTTTTGGTTTATCCTCCTCTGCTGTGCTCTCACCAGGGACTCTATAAAATCCACACTTTCCAGATCCTTTTACCTGAAAACATACCACTCATATAATATTTCAAGATTTACATGACTAATGCTCCTTACTGATGGAATTTAATACAGAAATGAGTAATACTTTCTGAACCCTCTCAGCGACTTTCTGTTTCAGGAGACTGAGAGCAGTGATCAGACAAATTAAATCCTACTTATTTCTTCTATGTTATAACTGTTTTCAGTGACCGGTGGCTACACAGTAAACATAACAAACTGTATTTGTAGACACTTTGCGATAATCACATAATTAGAATGAGACACAGTGACAATCGTCTAATGACAAAGTACACTAGAAGTACTGTGTGTTAACTCAAAATCTTCTACTATATTGTATACATTATGCACAGTGAAATAGGAATCTAAAATATATTGGAAAGCAGTATTTTCTGTTTTTTTTTGTATATTACTAAACTCATATAATATCTGTATATCAAATTTCATTTCAGTATGTGCAACCTCTGCAAAGAATATGAACGGAAACTTTGAATATTAATTGGAATTTTTCTAAGTCCAAGGGGCATAACTTTGTCATAAAATTGCTCAATTGTACCCAAAACATAACCTGACCTAGATATTTTAATGATAAAATCTGTATATAAAATGATATTTTATTATGTGCAACCTCTGCGAAGAAAATGAAAGGAAACTGTTGGTGGACCAACAAACTAACTGACAGAGAGCAGTAAAGCAATATGCTCTACCTTCTTCAAAGTAGGCCATAAGATGATAATTATTTGAAATATTTTTCATGTAGCCTTATGAAACCAGAGATAATGAGTTTACCAAAATGATGGTGCCGTATCTGATGCCTCTGTCCAGGGCGTTCAGCAGCTTGTTAGGGTACGACTCCACCTGTAGGGCGGGGTACTTAGATCCGATCAGCTGCTTCAGACTGAAGAATCGCACACCTTTGTTCTTCATTTTGTTAAGGAACATAACAGAAATTATCGGCTTATAAAACAAACAAAATTTTTAATCATTTAAAAAACCAATTATCGGTGACTCCTGATGGCTCATTCTTTGTTCTCTCAAATTTCATGCTGTATCAAAGTAATTTTCAGATCACAATTTATTCTCCTGTATAACTAAGCATTTTACTCTTGATTTCTTAAACTTCCTAACACAATATTCCCTTCATCTCTATTATTCAAAATGCAGTCCTGTAACATATATTGTACTCATGATACCTCAAACTGATTATGTGTATACTTAAAAGAAAATTAGAGCTCTTGGAGAGTTACAAATTTTACATTTTAAAAGGACAAAGTAGGGTAACGGCCGAATCTGGCCCCTTATTTGATGTAAAAGTCAGAACACTGGAAAAATTGTGATGGTTTGTAGTTAGGAACTTCAAATGATGCTTGCTTTAAAACCAGCACTAATTTGGATTCAAAGCTTACATGGGGGTCACAAGGGGGTGGAGAAGTAAGTCATTTTCCCGAATTTCTTAAATTCTGGTTGAATTTCATCATATTTGAGATACTTTTCTCTTCGGGAAACATAGAGTACAACCTTGCCTATCTGAGATTTTTACACACAAACTACATCTGTGTATAAAATATATAAATTTGGTAGATAGGCAAGCTTGTGCTCTATGTTTTCTAAAACAAAATGTGCTGTAAAATCAATGAAACGTTGCAAAAAAATGAGAAAATTCGAAAATTAACCTTTTTTCTGACCTCTCTGTGACCTCTGTGTATTTCAAAACTTAGAACCAATACTCATTTGTGGCCGGGATGACAACTAAGTCTTAATTGATAAACTGTTGCATCACTCTAAAAGACACCCAAAATCAGGGGCCAAAAAGAGGTCTTACCCTATCTTATCCTTTGGCTATAATTTTTGTATATAGGAATTCAATAAAAAGATTTCTCTTACAATGAAAATAAATGAAATTTTTTTGTGAAAAGAGCTGCTAGTCATTTATACAGAATTAATCAACCTAATACCTTTGATCATCTCGCATTAAAACACAGTATTTTATCTTATACCTTTGGTCATTTATAAAGAGTATCGTAATAAAGTGTACTTCTGGTCATGGTCATTATCACAAAGTATCCCAACCTTATACCCCTGGGTTAAAAGGATACAGGATTTCCAACCCCAATAATGACTTCATTCAGAATGTCCTTCATTTTAAGACTGAGCGTCTCTCCTTGCACCTTCTTCTCTCGGGGCTGGGTTTCTTTGATTATTCCGTGCAGTGGGGACATCATTTTCACCCCGAAGCATTTTCCTAGTTTCTCCCGAACTAACTGAAAAATATATATTAAATTTTTATTTTGATACTAAATTTTGAAATCACTAATTTTCATGGGGGTTTCGTTTATGAGGTATAAAGAGACTCATGAATTTATGTCCACCATGAATTGTAATTATTTTTTTTTTTAACAGATATTACTACTTAACAATTCTTCATCCACAAAATTAAATCCCCAAGAACCCATATTTTTATTCCTCAAACCACAAAAATTTGACCCCACAAATATATGTGATTTTACAGTACGTCAACAAAAGGATAAATAAAAGTGTACTTAGCAATATCATGGATTACATCTGTTTACCCGCATCATAATCTAATCTTTTAGAAAGTACATCACACCAATTTTTTTTTTAAATGATCATTTGGTCCAACATTTTCTAATAAGCCGTAGAACCTGTTTACCAGCCTTGTTAACAGGATCAATGGCTTTTCAACATTTCTGACTACAATTAGCTGATATTAGACTTATTTGAGAATGCACCTATTATTTCCCAGTTGAGTAACAGTGCTGCTCATGACAAAGTTTACATTTTCTTAGACTTCATCAAAAATGAGCTAAGCACAAGTGAAGAAAACCTTACCCTGTTAAATAATCCTACATCTGCAACATTGCCTGAATCTTGTAGGACAGATTCTGTGTAGTACTCGTACATCTTGTTTGTGCTCACATGAACATCATCTTTAACCTCAAAATTGTCCATAATCCTAAAAACAAAAAGGTGCATTTATACGTATTTCAACAAACAACTTGAAATGCTAACTTGAGCTTTTTTTTACTGTAATTTTCTATATTGTTAGTCTTTTTATTATGTTTCATTTAAGTGAAGGTTATTAAGGATATATAATGATCAAATCAGAACAAATGCGTTGCTTTCCATAAAAAAAAAAATAGTGCATTTTTCTGCAATCTAAGAAAATAAATCTACTAGTAGGAATCTTTTCACTCCTCGTAATTTGATATCAAAATTATTCTACCAGTCTTGACACTTTTGTTCCACAAGTGGAATTGTCCTTTTGCGTTTCTCAAACAGAATGTCATTTTCATTGAGATAAGCTGGTGGCGTTTGTGGAGGACGGGCTTCCTTCTTTTTCTTTGGGGTGGGGGTGGGGGTGGCAGCAGTAGAGGCGGGGTTCTTTGCTGAAGTGGCTGCTTCTTGAGCCTCCTTTTCCCTTTTCTTTTCCTCCAGATATTCCTGTGCTTTTTTCTTCAGTTTGATGGCTGGCATGGTGTAGACAGGTTGCTTGTTTTACAAACAAAACCTGCCAAGTTAAATTTCCTGAAAAAAGATATTACTGAATACTCTGAGGTTGACAGTTTGAAAATTTTATATCTATCTTGCATTGGATTTACATGATAAATCTGTATAATTTTTAATTCAAGAATGTACAACATACCCAACAAGACTGGAATGGTTTCTAAGACGATCATGTATGAAAACACAAGGTTTTGTGTTATTATATTAAACAGATGGTTAGGATAAAGAATTTTTTTTATTTTATAAGTTCACTTAATCCAAGGTAAAAAAAATTAATTGCAATTGCTGTTTTCAATGAAATAAAAAAAAATATGGTCTTCTCTTCATATGAGTTATAGCTTTAGAAGTAGCTCAGCCTCTATAGTTAAAAAAAATTCCAAGTGATTTTACATGCATCAATTTCAGAAGAGTTCAAGGTTGAATATCGTCACTGCATCAAGGTGCAACTTTTTGTACATGGTGAGAAAATTACACATTTACAAAAAAGTGTGATAAAATAGTTAAATTAAGCTATTCTGAATAGCATAATAAAGATATATGGCTAAATCAAGCTATATAGCTAAATCAAGAGATTGTATTTGACCTGCATATATCAGGTTGGGACCACTCGCCGAAATGGGATATAATAGCCCGTTTCGAATATGATATTCCAGACAATATAAATTTACAGTGCAAAAAAAAAAGAATTTTTTTTATATTGGTCATTAATTATCATAAATCCTTACCAAAATATTTAAAAGGGATTAACTTATAGCAAGTTACTGCAACCCTACAGATTGTTAGGTTGATCCCCAAGTTTAAGAACTTCCGAGGGATCAATCACAGAACAACTTGTCAACTAAACATTATTCCTTTTTAATCATCTTGATGCTGCATTTAGGATATTGACAGCCAAAATAAAAGTTTTCAGTTTTAGCACTGTATATCTATATCCCATCTGGAATATTATATCTCAAATGGACTATTATATCCCATTTGGGCGAGTGGTTCCAACCTGTAAATGGTTTCTTGACCTTGACCCTCCGAAAAACTTTTATTTTTCTTTAACAAGTGTAATAAATCAGCCTATTAAAATTGCTCTTAGAACATGATAATGATACAAAATTTTATTCTTATGCTTATCAATTGCCAGCTGTCTTGATAATAATAGCCTACTGGAGTTGCAGAGATGACCTTCACCCCACTGTATCGATCCTATAATTAAAGTGCTCGAGTAATTCATGAGCTGATTAAACTATTAATCTGATCACTCATTCTCAACTAAATCATATTTACTATTGAATTGATAATAAATTTAAGTCACATGCATAAATTACTTCATTTAACATTTTATTTCATGGGTCGTAAACTGTAATATTCGATTATTTTTGGATATATTGAGCAAATGCAATAAATTAGGGTTAATTTCATTGGAAATGTGTTTGCAGAGGTTTATGCATGGGTGATTTGCCACCAATAAGTTGCATACTATACAAATCGAATATTTACATGCAACGCACAAACCTGCAAAAATTGTAGTGAAGAGTTGTGTACTTCTTGCGTTGCGAACTACGTCATCGAAAAGTGTGCACCCTAGATGATCGTTCTTAAGAATGTCGATTTTTCTTAAATGAGAAAGAAAAATTGGAAGATAACGAATAGTAATCAATATTTAAAAAAAATCTTTAAGTATTGTGAATGCAAGACTGACCCCCGGAAATTCAAGAGGTGGAATCAGATGCGGAAAAGCAAGTCCCCCCCCCCCCCCACACACACAAGCCAATCGACACAGGGCATTCCGCGGTGATCAAATTCAGCATAATACAAAGGACTAGCAATTGGTTTGAATTTAAAGACGTTAGCCAAAATAAGACCCAATAAAGGGTCATATTTGCTAACAATTAAAGTAACTTTAAATTTAACGACCATAGAACTTCCAATTCCCGTAACATCAACCTATCTGTCAACAGCCTGCCTCGGTTCAAAGAATGATTTTCCTTCGAGCATATGCTCTCACACAGACTTGAATATCGAATAAGATGGGATGCAGAGTTTACGTAGATACCATAGCCATGTGCATTTGTTTATGATTTAAAAAACACACACTATTATAATTTATATACAGAGAAAACAAGTCCAGGGGAAACACCATCTTTTTTAAAAAATGATATCTCAGTTTTATCTTGAAGTAGAAATAGCAGGAAAAAAAAACAATGTAGAACGTATATGTACAATACTTAAAGGGGGACTTAAGGCATGCATTGAACCACTGAGCTTCACACACCACGACTCAACTTGCTGTAGTCACAGCTAGTATGCACTATAGGTCAAAATTGCTTAAATTTCAGTGTCGTGGCATCGCTTTTGTATTTGAAAGGGGGAAGTCAGAGAAAAAAATAACTTACCTGAAAATATTTACATGCCAAAAAAGTTTTTTTTTTTCCCAAACCCTATTTCTTTCAATACCAGAATGTTTACTCAAACATACTTCTTTTCCCTTATTTGACTATACTGCAACAAAAAGGGAGTGGGGACAGCCGCACTTAAAATTTCAATGATCATTTTCTAAAGTGAAAAGTTATAAAGTTATGTCTTGAAAGGGGGGTGTATTACCAAATTGCAAAAAAAAAGATATAACTTTCAGAAAAAAATCATTATGATACGTGATTGAATGTTATGTTCACCTGAGTGGAAATCGGGGTGCAGATGAAATAACCTTTCGATCATATCTAACTGAATATTTAGAAGTTCTCAATCAATCTATTTTATTTTTTCTGATGCATGATGTAGAAAAAAATAAATGCTTATATTTACTTGGAAGGTCATGATGTGCAGGTAAATAATATAAATATTTAGGTCAAAACGATGTTAAAGCCACCTAAGGATTACAGTCTTCACTGACTTTTCATAACATCTTAACAGGGGTCTGCAGTTTCAGTTGAATGGGTCCAAGGCTTCTTTTAGTTGCTTTAGTACATACTTTTATTTATTAACTTTGCAAATTCCGGGGGGGGGGGGGGGACTTCCCTCTAAATCCGCGCATGTTACCAGTCCCATATATAATTTAATTCTATTTAGTTGCCATGAATAACAAAGGAAACATGTCAGACTTTTTGTGAAATGAGGAGAGGGGGGATTCCCAGGGGCAAATGATAAGAATAAAAAAAAAAAAACTTTCGCTATACCCCCAATAATAACTTGAGAGAAATCTCTTAACTCCAATTTTGCATAGGCGCCAATGCCATTTTGTTTAGGGATGGGAAATGGGGGGGGGGGGGGGGCAAGTTCCGTTGGGTTGGGGGCAGCCTTACAATGAACATTTGTACTTAAATTAAAAGTAAAAAAAAATATATTCAGAAAAAATGTTTGGGTAGGGGGTGCACGGAAGATCCCATCTATTCCCATCCCAAATTTTATGTTGCCTAATGATATTATATATGAGTTGGGCGGTTGCAAGTGAATTCGCTTTCCCAAACTACTTGTATCAATGTAGAGAAAATGTGTCCTTATATTCATCTTGAAGGTCACGTATAAGTGATTATAACGTAGTAATATGGATCACAGCTAATCAAAGAAATAGAAATTTTCCAATCAGATAATAAATCCACGTCGTCTGCGTTGTGCAGTGGTTAGAGCGTCTGCTCTAAAGTCGCGAAGTACTTAAGGAGTTGATCCTTACGCCGCGGGTTCGAATCCCACTGTGGGGCGTAGAGACCGGTCCTTCGGATGAGACCGTATAAACCGAAGTCCCGTATCACCGTTGGTGCTGGCACGAAAAAAAACTCACACTACTCAGTGACCCTAAGCATGCTAAGTGTGCCGAGTATATGACAAACTTTGCAGCTCTCTGTCGGCAAGTGGTGGCGTCTCCATATGAGTGAAACATCCCTGAGAGGGACGTTAAACAAAAAGACAATCAATCAAGGAAGGATATTGAGATAAAGAACAGAATTAAATATCAAAGTCCATAAAACAATACAAAATATGAGCAGAACAAACACGGACCTCCAAAACATCAGAAGTACGTGGGATCAGGTGCCATGGAGGAGTAAGCATCATCTGCCGACGGTCACACAAAATTAGTGTGAAAAACGTCAGTCGGCATTTGACTCAATGATAAATTAAATTTGCTGACAAGGTCATTGTATCGACCATAGAACTAGTTACGAAATGATGACTGACTTTAAACGAGACTGTTGATAATAAATCCATTTTCGTTGCATAGAATTAATCAATCAAAATAACAAAAATCAAACGTAATCCTTTCATCAAAGGTTTAGTGGTTAATTTAACCACGCTTGTCATTTTAATTTTCAGTTTCCCCGGCTTTCTTATCATGCTTATAAACATGATAAAAAGGCCCTATTTATGTTGCTAATGATTCTCCATAGGCCTACTCTTGGATCTTTCAGAAACTACAGAACAATAAAAATTCCTTGTGTTTGTCTGATTATATTCAGTTGCAGCTCTAGCTTTAGATCAGTCTTTTTTCAAACCAACGCACCATTTCTTATTTTTACGTAAAGTACAGAAAATCGATATTCTAATATCAGCTGTACGGATCTTTGGATTGTGGTACAAGACGCCATATTTGTTGACGGTCCGTGCAGAAGCGTATTCTTGGAAAGATGTTTTGCATTGATTGTCACCAGTATTTGACGTTTTAGGTGAGTATTTATGCAAATGAATGCATTAAAACACCGCTAAAACGATATATGGAGCTGCAATTAAGAAAGATTTCCCAATAACAAGAGGTATCACGAAATAACTGTAAGTGACACTCAGGGCTTACGTTATATTGCTCTGTGTTGAAGGACCTGTTACTAAAAAAGTTAACCGAGATAGTGCATTTAACGCGTTCTGTAATGTTGGAAGAAAGCCTAGAGCTACTTTGAGAGACCAGTTGGTGTGTATACCTAGTAGTCATTCTGTTCATCTCCCATCAGCATTGTAGTTTGATTATTGATAATTAAGTTCTGTGATGGTATGACATTGCTATAAAGTGATGTGCCATAATTTATTTAATGTACACACTTGGAACATAAAGTGGGAAACCCAGGCCCCTTAGCAGTAGTTTCAGCCATAGAGGCTTACAGGTTTCAGTATGGTGTATTTACTGTATTATGTGTTTTTCTAGGTGTATCTAAATACACCATCACTGAAATCAGCACAATTTAAAAATTTCATATTACCGTCAATGTTTTAAATATATAAAAAGAGTGAAGGTACAATATTTACAATCTTCAATTTCAGGGTGTTCCTCGATTCACACTTGATTTTAATCGGTATTTACACTTTCTCTCGCAGTATGGGGTGAAATCTAGCTGAAAAAAATGATTGAATAACGTCCTTGAATTGTCTGCCAATTTGAAAACATGCAGTAAACTGGTATCCAATCGACTCATATCCAAATGACTGGTACCCAAACCAAAGTCAACTCGTAGCCAATAGAGTTGGGTATTGCCAGTTAAAACCATATTGTGATATATTGCAATATTTTATGATGAATATTGCAATATATTGGGATATATTGTAGATTAATTATGATTAATAAATTTTTGCAGAAAGTTTAAAATGCTGTCAAGCTCAAAGACTATTTGAATTTATCTACAAGTTTTAAAGGGGGTGAGGGGATAAAATATTTAATTGCACACATAACAACACTTTAGAGCACTTTACTTTTAATCAAATACCAGGTAAAATAATAAAACAAAATGAACTCTCTTGAAGCATTTTGAAATTGAAAAAAGTTAATACAGAGTATATAATCTTGTTACATTTTAATGTTTTTTTTTGGGGGGGGGGTGTTTTATTAAAATAGCACAAAATATAACTTAATGATTAAAACAATACATACTATATGAAAATTTAATGTGGTCACAGGATAAAATTAAAGCCAGAAAGAAATTGTGACCTATTTTCGGGCATTTTGGTGTTTTAGTCTAACCCGACCTAATTTCACATTATGATATACGATCAGGAATTGCATTGGCTTATTTCCACTGTTTTAATACACATGCTCCTGGTATAGCATGAAGTTGTTTAAAATTGCATGAAACTTATTGAAAAATAATAAAAGCATCACTATATCAAGTGAAAACATGGATGGCCATTTACTTGTAATATGTATCTTGAACTTAACATTCATCATCGTGACATCGACCGTGTAGATTCCATGTAAGATTTTGAGAACCACAGTAAACATGGCATACACCCTGTAGAAATGTTGTATATATTTTCTTTTTTAATAATTTTATTCAAAAGTCTTTATTAATTATTATTTTTTTAAGTAAGATACAGTGAATGATAAGCTTCCTCTCTCTCTTTTCTCTCTATGATCTCTTCGAAAGCTGATGAAGTATTCATTTAACTAGATGATTCCAGTAGTTTCTACAATGAAGGATGTTTTTTTTTTATATATTTTTATAAATATCGTGAAATACCGGTATCTGACTTTCATATCGTGATATATTATCGTGGTGGATAATACCGCAATATACTGATATACCGGTAAGACCGCGGAACATTGACTGGCAAAATTGGAAATATACAGCTTACGTCATTTCTATCTGTTACAATCAAAACATTCAGTGATAGACAACGAAAT